TTACGTTCGTTGAAGATGCTTGGTGTTAGGCAAGCAGCCGGCCATAGAAGAAACCACCCAAAACCCTTTACACGAGCTAACCTCAAATAGAATTGGGAGAAGAGTAGGAAGATAATGATAATAAACAATTGAATTACATTTAACTAAGTAACTAGTATTTTGTTCTATTGTATATTGTCAGGAGACTGATTTATCTCTTTATACTGTTTTGACAGATGTGAATTCGAATCAGAGATTAATTCAATTTGGATTCTGTGGAAAATGGTATGTTATCACGTAGTATTTCAAAAGTAAAATACATAATCAGGTACTTCTTACAAGTCCCTAACCCCATTACTTTTTCATATGTCTATCTCGACTGACTGAACTATTGATAAAAAAAATCTTCGCTATTCAAAATTACGATGTGTGAATTAACAACTCAGAGAGGGGAGAAAGCATTCGATGAGGATTATTCAAGAACATTTTTGAGTAACATATAATTCGTTGTATAAGTAAGCTTAAAAATGTATAACCATAAATCAAAGTCACATAATAGTGGTCGATAAAACAAAGGACGTGGTCGCCAGCCCACCTTTTTATTGAACCTACAATAATAACCTTAATTTCATACATAATACCAAAGTATAATATTCGTAGAACGTGTTATATGCAACCAAATGGCGTGGAATGGACCGATTGGTAAAAAACATTGCGATCTCGTGATAGATAATTAAGGATTTTTAGATATTATGAAAAAGGTTGCTTACCTGAGCTATCAAAATTCTGTGCGTGTACAGGTGGTGTCTTAGCGTACAATAAACTTTGTGTTTCTGTGAAGTTAGGCCGACTAGCATCCATACAATTAAATTTATTTTTTTTTAATTCCACAAGTATACTTTTTTAAAAGAAGACTGTAAGTATTGTGTTTAGGTATCGTTTTCATTGTGGAGGAAATACGGACTTTCTTCTTAAATATAAAACGGTTTATAAAATCTTGTAAAATAAAAAAGATATATTTGGAAACTAATATATATTTAAAAGTGATGAAATAAATGTTGAACTATTGTTAATATTTTTTAAGGCTGTTGATGTAATTGAATGGGCCTGGAGATAATACCTAGAGTTGCATCTTACCTACCTAGATTTACATCCATACTTTTACATCTGTAGAACCAGGCTTAACACAGAGACGTGTCCGATATCAGGGACTTATTTCCTAGGTTATGCATCCAATATCTGCAAATGTCTAAGAATTGAATATATCAAAATGTTTAATGAGATTCGTTTTACATATTTTGTTCATTAATAAATGCTCGCAAATAAATGTCATCGCGAAAGGTTCCACGTGTTTCGCATGTTTGTGACATTTACTTAGAATAGAAATAACAATATTTTAGGACCTCGTATACTATCCACATCGCTTTTTTTTATGCTTTTTAATAACAGATCGTTGTAAAAAGGCACCTCCTGTATATCATAAGGGCCGTCGCATACGTGCGCCGAATCTATCCGATATGTTAGCGCTAAAAAACCCTCACCTTTTTTATCAAACTCCGAAAGAAACAGTTAAAAAAAACGATTTCGCAGATGTTGGTTTTATAAATTTCTTGCACGTGTTTTGTAGTTTTAGGGTTCTTCGTCATCAATGAGGTCAGAACAGCTCCTTAATTATTCCATATAATTTCACAGTTAATTACTTAGATTGATCTGAAATTCTGATACGATATGCAAACCGATTTGAAGATTATTTTGATCCATTTTTCGCGTCTGTTTTGTTTCTCATTTCTCATCAATGCAAGCGTGGCGGGGTACAGCTAGTATTCTATAAATTTCTTTTCTTACTTTTATAAACAGTTGCATAATCCTAAGTTTGTTATTGGAACGAAGTTCCTTATCACTCGTTACACGCTCTCAGCGGATGGCGCCGAGACCGAAAAATGAGTAACAAGACTTTTCCGATACCACATATAGCAAACGTCTACCACAAAGGAATGGAAATTCGTTCCGACCGGGAGTCCAAAGACCCCTCATGCTGTTTTTAATAAAAAATATTACTCTTGTCAAAAAAACTTTTGTTGTAACATTTGCCTAATCCTCTTGAGTCTAAGATTCATTTAAATTATACAGAACCTGCTTTCTTATGACCGCACCATGCTTTTCAAATTTTTTTGAACCCCACTGTGCGGTCTCAATGCTTATGATATTGTCTAAAATATATCAAAATAGGTTTAATCATAAAGGAACACAATAAAGGTTGTTAATAGTCTTGCAAAACATTGTTTACGATTATTACCTCATTTGTAAAATTGAGATATAAAAATTGTGGAATCGAGAAATAATAAGACTAGCTTAATTATTAAGAAACGTTTCGTAAAACCTTAATACACTTTCATTGGCTTTTCGAAATGAAATCATCTGCTTACAGTTTATCATAGTTAAGTTTATTTGTCACTTGTCAAATCCAATGCTAAGGAGCCTTCATCTCTTCCTTCTCCTACTCGGAAAGGTGAACATTCAGGGTAATTTAACAGACTAACCCGATTAATTAGTTAATTATTAATTAAGTATTGAATTCATACAAGAATAAAATGATTTGCTTAGCTGGAATAAGTAAAGTGAATATTGGAAACAGTTGATCAACGTTACAAGTTGGCATGCTGTTTTAAGTGTTTCATTTACCAAGTCTTAAAATCAACATGTCAAATAATCAAAATATATAAATCGCAGCAAAATTAATTATTAAGCCACTAAATGAACAAATTTTACTTGGGTATACAAGCTTTTGGGATCAGCCATAGAAACGACGTTTCTTGAGAAAGTCAAATGTCAATTAGATTTTAATTACAAATAGATATCTAATTCGTAAAGAAGTTCAAGGTGCACTCGACACTCGGGCACGCCGTAATCGCGGCGGTAAGACCCGTTATGGAGGATTGGCTCGAGAGGCGTCATGGGACCCTCTCATAGCGACTGACGCAGGTGATCACTGGGAAAGGATGTTTCGGGGATCACCTGTGTCTGATCCGCAAGGAACCAACGCCTGAATGCCACCACTGCGGTGGCCAGACCGTGGACACGGCTCTCTACACGCTGGCAGAGTGCACGGCGTGGGTTGAGCAGAGGCGAGACCTACCATAGCCTGATTGCGGCTATCGTGCGGAGCGAGAGTGCGTGGAGCTCTGCCGTCTCCTTCTGCGAGCAAGTTATGCTCGCGAGGGAGACAGCGGAGCGGGACCAGGAGAGGTTTGGAACTCTCCCGGCCCGCCAGGCCCGGGAACGGGCCAGGTACCGCAGGCGACTCAGGCGCCGGAGGTCGCAGAACAACCTCCGTCCTCCTAAGCGCAGGCCTGGGGGTGACAGGTGAGGCCATCTGTCACCCTAGCAGAAGCAGGCCGGGGTGGCTGCTAGCGCGTTGCGAAGCGCGCTCGCTTCCAGGTAACAGAGGGAACATGGGGTTCCCACACGGGGGGGGTCGTCTACTCGTCTGTAGATGGCCCGAGGTATGTAGGGGCACCAGGGACTTCTTTTCTAGGGTATACCTGGTTCCCCGGCTATTAGTACCCGAGACGGCGTGCGGTTTTAGTCGGTTCGAGTCCGACATGCCACCGATAGGTGGTAGGTATCCGAGGGGATTTCCGCATAATAATTAAATTATTACTAATACTAACTACAATTTTTTTTAGAACTTATATTATTATTATTTTTTACTGTTTTTGTGTAGTTGATACATTGTTTTATATTTTCATTACCAAACTTGCAGTTTAATTAACAAACTGGGCCGAGGTAGATGGTTAATAAAAGCAAAAGAAATACATTTGTTTTTTTTTCTTTGACAAATATTTTAAAAAACATCAACAACAGTTAAGTTGCACATTTTTTTAAAAACATGTTCATATTGTCAGCTATTTAACGAGGTATAATGCTCTAGGATAGGATAGGTCTGGTGCCTAGTTGAAAACTTGCCTTGTATTTTTGGATTGTTTCTTTTTCTATTCGTGACTGAATATTGCTAACTGCACTTGGATTTGTGCTTCTGTTACTTCTGATACCGTTCCCGGCCCGCCAGGCCCGGAAACGGGCCAGGTACCGTCTCCTCAAATCCTCCATAAGCGCAGGCCTGGAGGTGGTAGGTGAGGCCATCTGTCATCCTTGCAGAAGCAGACCGGGGTGGCGGCGCTTCGAGCTATAGAGCGCTATAGATATAAAAAAAGGTAGGTACTACCGGATCATACGCTAATTCTTAATACTCCCGGTCATTCATCTAAGTTATTTTCTATTAGTTCTCAAACTATCCTAGTATCCTATTATCCTACTATTATACCTTGTTAGATAGCTGACCATACGTACATGTTTTTAACACACCTGCAAAGTAACTGACAGTTTTTTTTTAATATTCGTCAAAGAAAAAAATAATTACAAATTTATTCCTTTTTGCTATTATGAACCATCTACTTTAGCCCAGTTTGTTAAGTTAACTACAATTTTGGTAATGGAAATTATAAATCTTTGTATCAACGAGACAGACATAATAAAATGAAGAAAATAATGAGGACAGAAGTTTAAAAAAAAATAGTCAAAATTTCGGCAATTTTTATAAAAAGTCTTAATTAAGTCTAATATCTTAAAAATGGTTGGGTTTGGGACATGGTAGTTCTTAGTAAAATCTATTAGTAATAATGGTTACTATAACCCCCTAAAGTATCTAGGTCGACTTAACCAGTAACCCTGTATATATGCATTTGCTTGTATAGAGCAATATTAGAAGGTATTATGCTAAATAATATTAAATAACCTATTTAATAAACGACAACTTATCAAGTAGACTCGAGGCATTGTTTATAATCAACTAAAATATATGAATTCAAGGTCTTTATTTTTTTTAAATATAATAAACAGGTAAATATAAGAACTACAAAACGCCAACAAAAAATCGACACCTAGCCACTTATGCGTAAACTAAAATGAAATATGTCTTCGTTACATATGATAGAAGTACATTTATTTGTCAACAGATGGCGTTATCTTCGAATGATTTCATTATACAAATCGATATAGCGATCATTGAACGATTGGTGTCTTTTACAGTTAAACTCTTCAGTTGTCACACAAACCGGTTCTTTCCCATTATATTTCGAAGTGCTGTATTCAATACCTAATCTTTTCACTTCTTTGATCAAATCATTTAAACAAGCACACTGCCAAGGATTCGGATGGAACAAAAACTTCTTCAAACGACCCCCCGAATTTTGAATCTCTAAACAGAAGTTATCCGTTAGGTATGTGATTTTATTACTGGATAAATTCAAATTCTTCAATGGTGTACCTCTGAATGCGTTCACTGGTACATCCGAAATTTGATTGCCTAATAAATGTATGGTTATAAGTCTCGGCATATTTCTGAAGAGATTGTCTGGTATAACTTTTAGTTTGTTATTTCCTAAAACAATCTTTTTTAAATTCTTTAGTGGCTGTAGTACATCTCCATTTATGCTCCCAATATCATTGTGGGACAGGTCTAATGTTTCTAAACTATCCATGTTAACAAATATAGCCGCATTGTCCAACGCCGATATTTGATTCATGGATAATATCAACTGCTTTAGAGTTCTTAGATTAGGTTTAGTCGCAAACTGTGGCATTTCTTTAACAAAAGTTCTATCCAGATTGAGGACCTCCAGAGACTGAAATGCATGTAATAAATTCTCTGGTGCATCTGTCATATCGTTTCTAGAAAAATCGATAAATGTAATATGTGGACTTTGGTCAAAAATATAAGGATTCAGATTTTTTCCTTTGAGATCATTGCTTGACAAATCTACAAACTTCAACTTTGGCAATAGGTCAAATATTCCCAATTCTAGATTATTTATTTTATTTCCTTTCAAATCTAAATGATCTATATTGGTTGTCTGATCAAAAAGACCCAGAGGGAATGCAGTGAGCATATTGTAGGAGAGGTTTAGGTGTGTAAGTTGTTTTGGCTCATCTAAAACGCCCAGTTTTAGTCTGGAGATCTTGTTTAAAGACAAATCTAAGTATGTAAGAGAATTGAGATCGTTGAAAGATTCATATTCGACATCAATAATTCTACAAGACCGAAGTGTGATGCCAGTCGTTTTGTTATTATCAGATATGAGGCCTCTCACTAGCTCATAGTCTTCTCTCCCGGCGGTGCACACGACGTTCTTTTCATTGAAAGTTTTACACTCAGGTGCAGCGTCAATTATGACTAACCACACCAGCGTTAGTAGGACACTATAATGTAGTGGTATCATCCCTGAAATAATAAAAAGAGTATTCTTATAACATTTATTTCCCATAATAGTAGTTCTAAATCTAAGTTACTCAGTTTTGTTATTGATGAAGTGTATTATAGGAATAGATGGGATACTGTTGAAGAAAGAAAATAAGACATACTTAATAAAACATACTTAATGTTTATAAACAACATAATCACCGGCGCTCTTTGAAATCGGTTTAATCCACCAACTAGTTACATTAATAATGTCAACTATGTGATCAAAATAGTTTGTAAACATATTACGCAATTATATCATAATTAGAACAGAGATATTGGAAGTGGGATTTTAAGTAGGTAGGTGAGTTAGTTGAGTGGAGAAGAGAGTGTTACACAGTCAGAGCCCTCGAACTGCGGCGCTGTCTAATAGGTAACCATGACAGTTGCGTACAGTAAGCGGATATGTGCTCGTTCTTTCGCAGGTTGAAAATGAATCGAATGCAATTGTTGAGAAGTCAGTCTAATTTATTGAGCAGATCTGCATTCAAGTCGAGAAAACTCACATCACCATAGTTGATAAGTGGAAAAAATAAACTCTGCACAAGTATCGTCTTTGTTTTGAGGAAATTTTTAAGGCGATAGAATTCTCGTAAAATATTCGTAGCCTTCTGACTGACACTAGTTATCTGAGTTTGCCAGTTCAGAGTCGCATCGATGTGCAGACCGAGATCCTTGACCGATGTGCTAACAGGCAGAACGGTGTCATTTAAGATTATGCCAGTAATACTATCAGGATCAATTCTGCTTGTCATTCTAGGACTCCCTATGATGATCGCTTAGCATTTTGATGGGTGCACCGTTAAACCGAACCTGCCGGACCAGTTTTTAATGGTCTCTAAGTCTTGATTAATACTTTTTACAGCTTCGTCCAAATTTTCTACTCCTGCATGTGAATAAGTTGCTTGCTTAAGTAAGTTAATTTCGTAAGTTAATAATAAATTTCGGTTATCGCGGTAAAAAGCCCATGTCCTTCCTCGAGAATCAAAATATCTTGATACCAAATTTCATTTAAATCGATTCAGCGGTTATTGATGATGAAATACAAACTTTCAACCCCCTTTTCACTCCTTTAAATGATGATTTCTATGACAAAAACTACTCTATGTCCTTACCCCGGACTCGGACGAACTTTGTACCAAATTCCATTTAAATCGGTTCAGCGGTTTAATCGTGAAGAGGTAACAGACAGACAGACAGACACACTTTCGCATTTATAATATTAGTATGGTATGGAAGTATGAATATTAGTATGGATGTATATGTATACCTAGTGTATCTATGTAGTATGTATAACATTTGCAACCGACAACAATTTGAAATAATTTATCTCATCTGCACCAATTATACACCTGCCACACACAGCTCTGCATCACCAAAAGGTTGACTGGAAGACAATAGCAATGGCATTAAGTCCGCCTTATGCAATGCATTTGCAGGAAGTATAAAATAAAGTCTTATTTTATTTCAAGTAACAAAGCGTCATTTAAAATTTTAAAACATACATCAAAACCAGTTTAAATTTTGACATGTCATTATCATTTTGCGGAAACTTAAACCTTAATGGTCATGATTCAGGAGTTATTTTAAGATGAATCGTTAAAATTAAGTTAACACTATCTGTATAATGTATAAATACGTAGCACATACAGATAACTATTCTTTATCTACTAGAACACAAGACATTATGTCTTCAAAAACATAGTCACTTAATTTTTTTATTAAAACATATGATTATGAAATGTACAATGTGCAAAAACAAAGTAGACAAAAAGAATAAAACCTACTTATTATGTATGGTAGGAGTATGAAAAACTATATTAGAAGGTATTAATTTAAAAAAATGCTCACCTCTATTGCAAAACGCACTTGTATTATAACCTCAAGTGAAAAGTCAATAATACTTAGACCCTCTGAGATTCACAGTATCTTCTTATCATCGTTATATCATTACACATTTATTTCAAATAATATCTCATGTGAATGGGAAATAAGCAATTATTTACAAACTACGTGCAACAACGTCGGTCATCGCGACCTAAATGAAGTTTGCAACAGTTCTTGAAACTGGATGACTTTAGATAATCGGGTTTTCCCGCCATTAATAGGCAATGGTATAGTAACAAAATAAAAAAAAATCGAAAACCACCCACCGATATCATAAGTATTGTAGAAAATAATTAAATTAACTTTTCATTATTCTTTGATATTTACTTATTGTTTTAACTCGAATTCGAATGAACAAAAGTTTCAAATCTAAAGTTATAATTAGGTCTACCTATATATATATTTATATAAATATATTTTAATGTGATATGTAATTTTATTTTTTTACAATTATAATAATGATATATCCATGAATTCAAGTCAAATCATATAAACCCGCCCGCATCGCTCCCGGTACAAAGCTACCCATGATACTTGCAGCATTGCCTCGCTGGATTGCAACGGATATCCTTTGCACCATAAACGAGCCGGAGCGGGAGTCACCACCTTTATGCCTAACTCGGCGAATTAAATTTAAAAAATGGCAAAACTGCGTACCTACGTAAACGCCAATTCCTAACATGTCATTAGTCAATCCATACTATGTAGTTTTATCAAACGTCACTAGGTGGCGTGTATAACAATATTTATCTTTTAAAGTTACATTCCAAAGCTTTTAACACCCACGCACGCTTACAGATTACCTGCTAACTACCTTGACCTATAAAGGAAGCACCTGTAGTGGGCATTACTGTACAATGTGTATATTATATATTTTTTTGTATAATAAATGCGGAATTACATTATTTTACTAAAACATATTTTAGTAATAGAATTGTTTGTCAGTTGTCGGTTGTTTAGTCAGGAAGTATGTCACGATGTTTACAATATTAAAGTAGTAGGTCCCTATACTTATTATAATTTGAATCATTTGATCATATTAAGATTTGAACTGCCATGATAAATTATAAAAGACTCTTTTGCATTTTATAAATGACGGTAATATACTTATGTATATTACCGTCATATATACCGATTACAGACACGTTTTATTATCATATAATAAAACATGTCTGTAATAGCCACGTTCTTGCCTTTTTTTTTTTTTTTTTTTTTTTTTCCGTGCGGAAATCCCCTCGGATACCACCTGTCGGTGGCATGTCGGACTCGAACCGACTAAAACCGCACGCCGTCGCCGGGTACTAATAGCCGGGGAACCAGGTATACCCTAGAAAGGAAGTCCCTGGTGCCCCGACATACCTCGGGTCATCTACAGACGAGTAGACGACCCCCCCGTGTGGGAACCCCATGTTCCCTGTGCTCCCTGGAAGCGAGCGCGCTTCGCAACGCGCTCGCCGCCACCCCGGCCTGCTTCTGCTAGGGTGACAGATGGCCTCACCTGTCACCCCCAGGCCTGCGCTTATGGAGGACGGAGGTCGTTCTGCGACCTCCGGCGCCTGAGTCGCCTGCGGTGCCTGTCCCGTGCCCGGGCCTGGCGGGCCGGGAGAGTTCTAAACCTCTTCCGGTGCCGCTCCGCCGTCTCCTTCGCGAGCATAACTTGCTCGCAGAAGGAGACGGCAGAGTTCCACGCACTCTCGCTCCGCACGATAGCTTCAATTTTATTTATTTGTATGTATAGATGTTAAATCTGTTAACTAGATATAGTAAGTAAATAAAACAAAGCTACGTATTAATAACCTTTATTAACATACACAGTTGTAAAGAATAGTACAATACAAACATCGATTGCTTATTACTTAGTAGTATTTTTGGTATTCGTGTAAAGAAATTGCATTCGTTCAAACAGAACTTAGCCCATAATAACAAATAATTAGCCAAATTTACAGCGCTATTTCACCCTCACGTTCGCAATTATTGTCAACATTTGTTGTTCCACTTCCTTCAACCGTATCAAAACCCTTATCATCACTATCAGTTTCTTTATTTTCATCTGTAGTGTTAAAGTCGATTGAAGTGTCTTTCAAACTATGTGCACTGCTACTTTCTTCTACATTTATGCTAACGTTCCTAGAAATATCTAATTCACTTTTAAGCCTCTGTATTGATTGCACAACCTCATTTTGGAAACTCATATTTAATTTATACAACTGTTCGGAATGCTCCTTTTCTCTTCTTATCTCATTTCTTGTGTGAATATCCTTATATTTCTCGAATTCCGTCATAATTCTCACTTTTGACTCGTAAACGTGTTGTACCATTGAAACGAGCGCAAATAGCTTCTGAATAACTTTTTCCTTTACCTCTGTTGATATGTTTGAATCGGACTCTAGATCAGATTTTGCATCAAGAGCTAAGTCATTAGCCGACGATGGGAAACCGAGGAACGACTTAGATCCGTTCGATGCATAAGTTTTTGGCGGAGGGGGACTTTCTACTTTCTGAGGCTTATTAACTGTCTTCGACGTAAAAGCGCCGTGAGTCACAACTTCAGTAAAAACACCAGAACTCGGTTTACTGGCTTGATACTCCGAAGTTTTTTTATTCACTTTCTGCAACAATTCATTTTGTTTCTCCTTCTGTTTTTCAAAGGCACTTTTCTCTATGACTTCTTCGTGGATAATCTTTGTTTCTGTAGGTGATTCTTTGCCTTTTTGAAAAGGGCTTCCAGTTCTCTTGGTGAAATTCGTAACAGTTAATTTAGACATATCCTTAAATGGCCTGTAGTATATAAGGTAATGAAAATGCGTACTATATAATCACTGTGCTGAATTTTTTCACTAACGCTTGTGTCCACTATGATGACGGCAGTGTCACTAAGGATTGTTCATATGAAAACCTGTGCGGTGGCCTCAGCTCACCAAGTGTGGGTTTCGGTCCTTAGTTTTGGCTTGGCAGCGCTTCCTAGGCATGGCAATGAATTAATAATTGGAATTGATTAGCTCGGCGTGGGCACAATGCAGTTTGCATTGTAATGTTGACATTACAACTGCGTAAATGTCTGATATAACGGTGTTTGAGTATAATATAAAATTTATTTACTATTTTTTAATATGTAAAAAAAAGTTGGCCTTTAAAATTATATGAAAAATTTCGAGAAATAAAGAACGTTCGTTCCAATTACGTTGTTATGAAACGTTAAACACCCTATTGCGGCATACCGCATTAAAGGGTTACCTTTAAAATATTATTTTCACCCAACGGTTCAAAAAAAAAAATACGATTTTTAAGGTTAAAAAATTAAATTAGAGGTTAAAACTATCTCTAATTTTATTATTTAGAATTAATTACTTATGTGTACATAGACCTCATCGTAGAACAACATATATCTGCCTACCTGCAGAGCCTTTTAAAACTTTTACAACGAAAAATACTAAATCTTATTTAAACTCTGGTATTTTAAATACTATGTGAATAATGTATGGTATACTTTTGATTTGTAATCAATTTTTATTTTACCCTTATTCATTTTTAAATCATATTGGTATTATTTGCTAACTAAATTAACATGCAAACAGTTACTGCAGTGCATACTGACCTTTCCTAATCAGAAGAAGAGACGAACAATTAGAGAAAAACAAAGCATGGGCCACTTTCATTTTGATAAATTTTATTTGGGGTCGACCCCACTTGGGTTTATGTATAACATTGGAAAAAGTTGTATCCAATTGCGTCCATGACCATCCGCTTGCTCCTGCCTAACGCAAACAATCCTTGGAAATCGTCTTTTTTTTACGAAAGGGAAAGCAAACGAGTCTACAGCTACAAAGCTCGTAGAAGAAGATGTCGCATCGCTGTGTCCATCCTGTGATTCAAAAGGACACTTTTTTTTACGTGTGGAAACCCTCTCGTGCCGTCACCCCACCCGGGGTTTGCGGCGGGGTGATGTGTAGAAATCGGACCGACTAATACAAAACGGTGTGCCACTCTGCGCCTGTGATAGGAGGGATCCGGGAACTGCTGTTATTATGACATCCGGAACCCACCTAGCGCCTGGCGCTGGCACCATCTTCGGGTAGATTAAAAAGGACACTAGAACAGAGTCATCAACTAGCATAAAACATTCACACTATAAACCTTTTATTAAAAAAAGTTACATAGATATAAATATGTTTGCTAAGTAGATTAACACCGTAGGTGATTCACATACAAAATTAATATTGATCCAACAATTATGTCATGCTGATATTTGCCCAATAGACTGATCTAACTAAGTAAACTGAATCGTTAGCCTCCTCAAGGTTACATAAGCGAATGCAAACCAGAGGGCATAGTGTGAATTTCTTTCACTTCTACTCGCTCTCGACAGCGAAAGCGATTGGCGTTGAGATTGGTGAAGATTTTAGCACAGGCCAATCGTAACGCCGAAAGCTGTCACCGCCGAAAGCTCTCTACTCCTATAAAACAGAGAAATTTTTAATAAAAAAATAAAAAAAATTGACATTACAAGGGTCTTTCAAGTCTTGAAGTTACTGCCATAATTTTTAAATGTTATAACTAAAAAGTAATTACGCTTAGTGGTCCAGATAGTAAAGCCGTATATTAAATAGTTACCGAATATCTATTTCATCTCTAATTTCTTCTTTGTATATTTTATTTCCGGTAATTTATTTTCTTTATATCTTATATTGTATCATAATAATACAAACAATAGAGCTAGATAAAGGCTTATCACATACTTTGGGTTTGAATTCGTGTAGAATTTCTAAGGAAATCAATGTTGTAAGCTAGTAACTCATTCGTAAATATTTGTTTTCTAATTTTAATTTCGAAGTTCGGTTTGGACCTTTTATCTAGCTCTATTGTTTGTATTATTATGATACAATATAAGATATAAAGAAAATAAATTACCGGAAATAAAATATTTATATTATAATATTCATACACTCAACACGCTTTTGTAACGAATTTTAGCATTGGAGAGCTTATACGAAACAGTAGTGTCTGAATTATTTATTTCCTTATCAATTGTAGATCATTTGCGATCGATGCCAATATATACTTTCTAGTTCTTCTTGATTATGCCTATAATCAAGAAGAACTGAATCAAAGCGTGTTGAGTGTATGAATGTGATAAGAAGTATTAAAAATAAGTATATGACTATGATTCAAAACAGATAGACAAAAACTTGTAATGTTTACTGAAAGAGGCAAATTGTACAGATACTCTTAATTCATCAGGAAAGCTCTTTTACTTCTCCTTCACACGTCTCGCGGTCTCCTCCTCTAAATGTATTTCTACTAGTCAAATAGATGACTCATGATTCTTCGTTCTTTTTAATTATCTTTTAATAATTTATTTTATTTTAATACTTTATACATTTGCAGTACAGACGGCGGACCGAACGTCTAAGGCATATACTGCTAATATAAAATTGCTGCAGAGAAAACAGGATGCAGAGGAAACTTACTTATTTATACATACACATATAATAAAAAAAACATTACGATCATTCGAGCGTTAATCCCGGTAGCATCCGACGACGCCCGGGGTCCGCATGTATATAAGAAATATATACACTATTATATATGTATATATACCTACACATAAATACATATACACATATAAAAGCATAAGTACATAGCGCACTACAACATTAGATGTTCAGCTATGGGCAAGTTGATTCTGCCAGTTGCCTAAAAAGGAAAATTTTACTTTAAATAAGTTATAGTACGAGCTTCTTCTTTTGCTAATATTTATTTTATGTTAAAGTTCTTATTAATAAATAAAATCATTAGATTATCGAATTGCTATAGAAGTAACGTTCAACATTTGGACAAGTGCATAAGTGCTTCAACAAAAAACAATACAATGTGTCTGCTTATCATTCAACTCAACTCATCAGTTTTGAGCCAAGCAGGTTATTGGATTATTGGCAATAGGTCACGATCGTAACACTGAACTTTATATCCTACAGCCTTCATTCTTCTTTTGTTGACATGTTCGAGATCTATGTTATTTTTTTCAAAATGGTTTTCATATCTGCAGACTCTCTAAAAAATCCTTGTATTAAAAGCAAGCAATATGTTCTTGACATCAAGTAAACAATGGCATACTTCAAAGCAGAAGAAAGGGAAGTTGAGCTAACATTAACATGGTAATTATATAAATCTACAAACGGCACACTGAAAAAAATGAACTTGAAACTGAAATCAACAGGTGAATTTATATTTAGGTACAAATAAAATAACAAACGAAGAAACGATGAGAAAGCAAGTTAATAAAGTAGTAAAAATAACAGTGTTTGAATACGCAATTGTATTTGTAGGCTCACGCTATATCTGCATCTAACCAAAGACTGAACAGACAACTATCAATGCAAGCATTTAAAAATCGTTCAACAATAACGTCTGTTGAAATTTTTAACATATGAATATGTGTTTGTGTAATTAATAGTTCACCTATGCTATCACTTTCACCATGGCGGAACTATAGACGCAAATGGACAACATATTTGTATTCAACATGGTAACGAAACGCCGGATCAATAACAATTGGATGTCACCCGTTAACAGTACGGCAAGTATTTGTGTCACTTATATGATTGCAATTTGAAATTATATTACATATTGACGATTGGAGAGGTGCGCCTAATTGATAAGACGTCAAAAATTGTCCAGGAAAAAGAAACTCAGAATCACAACCATACTAAGTAATACATTAGGGTAAAATTGTAGCCAATTTGAATTTAACAAATGGTTATTAGTAAAAAGAAATAAAATGTAGTTTATTTTACGTAGTAAACATTTCTATGAAATTTACCACAATACACCCTTACACATACTCATATACTTCTATTAGTTTCAAAATATGCTGAATCCCCAAACTATCACCGGCATAACGAACCGGTTCAAACTCAATAATTAGTTCTTCTTTCGACCACGTTTACAAAAAAAGGGGTTATAAATACTCATAGTTTCAATGAACGTACTGTATATAAATACAAAAAGCAGAAAAATCACGAATAAAGTTTTTTGGTATATAACTGTACCTATCAAGGTACATACTTAATTGTTTATTAAGTTATGAACTAAATTAATAACATTAACTCAAGTAATTAATAAACTAAAGTAATAAGAAATCTCAGACCAAAATAACAAATTCAATCAAATGTATATGACTCACACAGGGCTTCGTGTGGTACGTAAACAATATTATAATCCGGTTAAGAGACAAGGTCTTCGCATTACATCATCTCGAGGTATTTATGTCTATAATGCAACTTATATAACATGGTTAAGAAGCATCGTAAAGAATGTTATTAGGTCATCATCATCTTATCATTCATCATCATCATTAGACTGCCTCTGTGGTGCAGTGATAGCGTATACGACTGCTGTGCTGAGGTCTCACGTTCGATGCCCGAGTCGCACTAAATGTTTGTATGATCTGGAAATATTTGTTTCAGAGTTTGTGTATCAAATATGTATATTTACAAAAAATATAGTATATAGGTATACTATCACTCAATCTAGTTTTCATAGTACAAGCTCTGCTTAGTTTGAAACTAGATCGCGTTGTGTGTCAGATATCCGAAATATTAAAAAAAAATTATCTTCCTGTCCTCCTCTCAACTTTATTTACGGTGGCTAACATTTAATTGGTTCTTTATTGTGCTACCGCCAAACTGCGTAAAGTTAGCGAATGTAATTCTTTATATAATTATTATAGGCAACGAAAGAATCGCTTAACACCGCTTTTCTGTGAGACTGTGGTGCCACTCCGGTCGAGCCAACCCATTTATGAAAAAAAAGGCTCCCCACGGTGTAAGAGAAAGAGATAGAGCGAAGGTCTTGAATGGGAAAAGCGACTGAACTGCAGCAGCTGGACGAGACCGGGATCGTCGTCGGGACCTGTTTATCCCTTCTGAGGTTGGAGATACCACTGCGACAGTGACAACAACATCATTATTAGATAGTACCGTAGTAAAATGATAATACATTTTGTTTTAGAAAATAATGTTGCTGGCTGGCCTGTTTGTCCAGTCGTTAGCGACCCTGACTGCTAAGCCAGAGATCTTGGGCTCGATTCTCACCCAGGAAAAATTATTGTGTGATAAGCACGATCCTTTGTTCTGTGAGTGTAATTTGTCTATAATATGTATGTATGGCAGGAGCTAGATGCGGGGAGCCCAAAATCGATCTATGTGGCGTGCAATGGGAAAGGCCTATGTCCAGCAAAGGACTGCGATAGGCTGATGATGATGATGATTTAGAAATAAATAAGTCTGTTTATCGGCAGTATGATCCACATAGTACTGGATCTGCCTAGTGTGAGATTTGGAAAGTTATTATTATTATTTCTAAGCATACAATAACTCATTACAAGTGTGCACATGCACAGTTGTACTTATTTGGCTATTGAGGTTTACAATTCTCTCGAATTCATGACGATCTAATACCGCCAACGTACTGACTTATCTAAACTGAACAGAAGTGACGGCAATAGAATTATTGTCGAGAATGACCCGACCGAGAATGACGAGAATATTTACGGTCTACGGATCACCCGCCCCTAGGATCTTGACCCGTTAAATAAAATGTACGACTCGCCCAATTTTTGTGTGTTTAAAAAATATTTTGTGTAAATATTCGCGCCTTTAGGAAATTCAATTGGCACAAAAAGTTAATTAATGTCTACTTAATAGTATCTATTCACAATCACCTATTTATTAACAGAGCGAGTTACCTCACTTTAGCTAGCTCACTGCTGATAACATAACAACAGAGCTGCAGTAAATAAAGGGCCGCCCACAAACTGACCAACTATTGCTATACTGTTTACGCAGGACTGTTAATTGTTTAACTCTTTGTAATTAGTTAGAAAGAGAAATAGTTATTTGTATATTATGTACCGTTCTATACAGTGTGGTCACCCATCCATCTTGCCCAAAATCAAATACTAAATGTGAAAGCCTTTATATAATAATAATATGGGCAGGTGTGTGTTCAGGACACATTGATGCACCGGCAATTGAAGTAAACCTCTACCGTACTTATTTGTAAATTCGTCATAACAACTTTCCTAACTTTACTTTCAAGGTAATGGTAATTTGGAGCTAAATATGATATCTTAAATGTGAGAAGGTGAGTTGATACACAATGTCTATTAATAGTGTATCAATTCACCCCCTCAAGGGGTGAAAGGGCCATAGACCGGGTATTTCTAAATTCCAAAAGTGTGTCTAGTCGAACTTCTTACACACCAGTTACTTATTAAAAATAAACGACTCATTAGGATCAGTGAAACATTCGAAATGAAGAATTAAAATAAACAGATGCCAGGACCAGTAATGTTCAACGTTGTTGCTACAAGCCTGTCCATAGATAAGAATTTTCTTAACACACAGGTCTAAATGTGAGATTCATTTTATTTATTAGTGCCGAGTGATAGATTTCTTAAATTTAACTTATTCTTCCTAGAGTAGAAAGCCTTAAAGCATTTGCTTGGGTTTAATATATCTGATGTGAAAAAAACTTTCTCTTTCTTCCAAATCAGGTTGGCCTGATTTCTGCGTTTATATCCCAATAAAAGTTTGCATTAATACCACTAAAAATAATGAAAGAACACTAGTAACTGTCCGAAAAGTTTTAGTCCCGTCTATCAGCTGATAAACTTGAGAGTTCAATGAAGTGCGCTCCGAGACAGTGAAGTTCAATGATATCAACTTAAACAACATTATATATGCAAAGACGCGAGTACTAACCTCTGTTCCTCCATATCAAATACCTCGCGTCTTAATTTATTGCACTTCTCGCTCTTACTATACCAATGAACCAAAAGAAGGATAGAGACACACGAACTGGATCATGCGTCTACGAATCAAGGAATGGTGTCACAAACAACAGAAAAGGCGCTGCAAACTAGTGACTTTAAAATGTACGATCAACGAATATCAATAACAGAACTTAAGACGTTTCGTACTTCATATCTTAAGGAGGATTCGTACAAGATAGCTTTCCCTTACACTTGGATACCCTCAATGCCAGAAAGTCATATGTACACGTACATTGAAAGACAATGCCTACCGGAACTGCAGACTACGTGCTGAATTTGAAATAGCTGTATAAAAACCAAAGGATTCTTGTCGAAACTATCACAAACAATCCAACCATCGTTCGGTAAACACCACGGGATCGAAGTAAAATGGTGTCCAGTAAAGTAGTGTGCCTTTTGGCTTTGGCTCTTTTCGGAAGCGCAGCTGCCCAGCCCGCCAAGGATGCCTTCTGGAAAGGCACGCCAATGGACAGCATGGTCGAGGAGATGAGATCTGGCTGCGAAGAAGGATCTGACCCCACGGCGTGCATCAAATACAAGGTTATGTCGTTGTTGGACTCCATTTTTAAGAAGGACACCTTCCAGGTATATAAATTTTTCTTTTTTGAAGCATTTCTCCAACTAAAAAATCAAGGCAAAATTTAAAATAAGTTACAAAAATCTTCTAATATATATTTTTTTCTTTAGATTTCGGAAGCCGTTGAAGTGACGAAAAATGGTGCTGCCAATGATGTCACAGGCCGGTCTTCTGGTGATTTCTTCGACAGCATTGAGAACTACATCCAGTCTCACGACGTGACTTTCAAACTTCCCATTGTTGACACCCAGATAACCGTAAGCCCCAGGAACCTTGACAATGATGAGCTCTCTCTAAACGTCAAGTTCAACAAGGAAGGTGCCCGATCTGTAGGTGAAGCCCGCAAAGCTAAGCTCAAGAAGATCATCGTCCCCATCCTCGTGTTCGTGCTGTTGAAGGCTATGACCCTCATCCCCTTGGCTATCGGTGTCCTCGGTTTGAAGGCCTGGAACGCTCTGCAGCTTTCCTTCTTCTCCTTCGTTGTCTCCGTTGCCCTGGCCATCTTCCAGCTTTGCAAAAAGGTGAGTTGATCATTTAACTAATTTTAATAAGGAGCCAATTTACAAAGCTAGTTTGTCACTTTAAATATATTTCTATTTAAATCCTCTTATTGTTGTAGTGAATAAAAACTATAACTAGCTCACCAGCCAGCACACTTTAATAAGAAATCTTTTGCACATTTGCACCCCACAAAGAGTTAATATCTCTTAAACTATTCAATAAAAACGCTTGATACTACACCGCATTGATTTATTTTCTGCACGAACTTTCTTTAACAACTCGACTATCCCAACCTAACATTGTAGTTTACCCAGATTGCGGCGGACAACTCCCACCCTCAGATTGCTGCCCATGGTCCTTGGGACGCTGCCTATGCTGCCACCCGCCGTAGGAGAGACGCTGAACCCCAGGAACTGGCTCAAGAACTGGCCTACAATGCTTACCACTAAAAATCCGAACGAATTCTCTCAAACTACGACCGTATCCGAACTCGTTTATCCCGCCTCTTTTCAACGCGCTATGAACGGGCACAGATAACATAGACCAAATAAAGCGGTTTCGTTTTGAAATCGTAACTGTGTAAATACTATGTACTTACTGCAACTTATTTATTAAAATAAAATGTGAATGAGTGTGTGACTGATGTATGACTGATAATGTTATTTATTTATATTATAATAAATCAATGATGAATAAAACTAATATTTTATTTATACCACCTTCTTTGGCAATTTGTATTATTACATTAAACAAATTGTATTTGTATAATGTTATAATACAAATTGTATTTTATAATATATTTTATAAACATTTGTATCAAAACTTTAAAGTTATTTAGGTAAAATAATTAGCTTTGTAAATGACCTATAATAATTTGTCATAAGAGAAACTGATTTAAACAAACAGTGTTAAGTTTTCAAATAAGTAAAACAATTAATAAATAGAAAATACCAAACAGTTGAACTAGAATACAAAAAAAGACTGAAACTTGATACAAAGAGAGAAATTATAAAATTATTTAATTTAGTTTGTGTATGTCTCTTCCTGTACATGAAGTGCTGGTAGTGATTATTTTGGCATTAGGCCTAAATTATGCATATCACAAAAGTGACAGTACGAAGTAGAACACTCAATCAACGCCATGGTATGTAGCGTATGTATCTACATTCAAAGCAGGACAAGGACTTTCTCCAGGGGAGGAAAATTTTACACGAGCAAGTATTTAAACACATTAGGTTTCTATACGAGTGCCAATCGCTTTCTATAGCACCTCATCAGGGAGGATCGTCACGTAGCAGAGTCAAGCGTCACGTAACACTTTAGTTGAGATAAACTGACACTGACCTTTACTTTGATTAACTTATTTAAGGTTTTGTGAACGAAAGAGTAAATGAATAATAAAAATATTTCCGTTTATGATTTAGGAATACACGTTTCGCAATAATTAGGTGTGGACATCAAAACAAGGAATTAAGAAGAACTGTTAAGGATTAATATAAAATTAAAAAAACATAAACAATAGGTCTCAGTGGTGGATTTACATAGGGGCGGTTGTTCAACGGATCCGTTCCATGAACACGGCCCCCAGGCCAGACGGGTTACCTACCCCAGTCAGACCCCCTTAGGGAGGTGTTCGACGCTAGATTGCCGTTCAGACGTTTTCATGAGTGCTGGAAGAGCGGGAAGCTGGTCTTATTAACGAAGTCAGAACAGCCTGCCAATTCGATCGCGACCCACAGACCCATCGTGATGCTAGCCGAGGCGGGAGCAGGGTGTTCGACAACCGGCGCTGTATTGCGCCACAGGATCGTGACCGAAGAGTCTTGGCGGCGTAATGTTGGCGGTGTCGTTGGATATCGCCAACGCATTCAATAGCCTGCCATTAAGCAACATCAGGCAGGCACTCCACTATCACGGGATGTCAGAGTGCCTAAGGCGGCCAGTAGCAGACTATTTAGAGGAGCATACCGTCATATACGAGGACCAAAATGGATATATAAGGCGCCTGCCATGTCGTGCAGTGTCTGCTGTCTGACAAGGGTCTATTCATAAAACCCTCCTAGAGAATATACGGTACCGACTGGGGCCTGGGGCCTTTGAGGAGACTTCTGTGGCGGGCTTGGTGTGATTTCTTACGCCGATGACACTTTGGCCACTGCCCGAGCGGCGAACTTTCAAGAGGCGGTGCACCTGGCCATGAGGGGTATCTCTGGTGGCGGGTTTCTTTTTGTTTTAAGACATCTCCCGCATTAGGAATGTATCCTGTGTCGCGGGGGACTTTACAAAAATATATGAAACGGACACCAAGAACATCCATACTCAGAACCACAATTTGTGAATCACACAAAGTGTTGTCCTATGTAGGGATCGAACCTTTTACACTCAGTGCACATTGTTGAGAAGCTGGAGTTACGGCTCAGATATCTCTGGCGCTCTGGCGCCCTCAGAAGGTATTGGCGGTTATAGCCATGCGCGGCTGCCGCATCGAATCTACGGAGGCGGCGTGAGCGTTGGCGAGAACACCTCCGTGGGATTTGTCGGTGAGCGGTTAAGTTCTGGGCCGAAGATGCAAGTGGCGTGAGGCCGCTAACCGAGCCACGATGGCTCTTTGATTGCCCAGGCTGGAGGCTCGATTAGCCCAGTTTGCACAGCTTGGGCGTCGCGGCGTCGGGTCCACATTATAGTCATCGCAAAGGATAGCCTATAGTGACAGATGTTTCATAAGCGGCGGAAAGGGCCCAGTAGGAAGATTCCCACTTGGATCCAATCCGCCGCCGCCGAAACGGCCGTCGGAGGCGCGTTTTAGGGCTTCATGCCGCCCTGAGTGATGATTAACGAAAAAGTTACTGATTTAAATTATATATTACACCAAGCGTTTAGTCATTTTTAAAATATAGATTGTGGAGGAACTGGTGTAATTTCCCTCTACTACTTCCAATTATTATACGGCAGGACACTTAGGTGGTACTTATGTTGTGCTAACACAGTAGCCATTAATCATAATAAGAGAGGGTGTTGTGTTTATTTGTTGTTAGTTGAAAAAGTATTTCTACTGCTTGTTCTGGTTAAAAAGTAATCGTTTCTTTTATCATAACTGTTATTCGGAATAAAGGTTGAGCATCATACCTTTAATGAATATATGTGCAGACATGAATGTACAAATCACACTGGAGGTATTCAACGCAGCGACAGGCGACAAGCTTCACGACCAATGCTACAGTTGTACTTTTTTGCTCGCGGGGATCATTAGATTTAATTTTTGTAACTTACAAGTAATATAATAGAAGTTTCAGGAATCAATCCTTTTCTAACCTTTGCAAAAGGGAAAAGCACCCCTTTTTTACATGAAAACGTATCAAGTTGAAATTAACATCAAACACTTATGTGTGCGGTCCTACAGTCGGTCTTAAGTCAAGGCAACCAAAATTACACTTTAATAACCAAAAAAGACTTTCGTAAATTAAAACACCGTCTGCGGTGTCTTAATCGCTTAATGATAATAAACAAATAATTTTATTAGATGGACTTGAACCCGAAATTAAGAGCAACCCAGAAACGGCCATTACACATCAGCGAACTCTGTGCAAACCGCACAGAACACAGGAGAATACGGGAATATACAACCTACGTTACAAGAACCCTGAAACCGTTCTTAAAAACTATACTAAAAAAAACTACATAAGTATCATTATTATTTATCGCCGTCCACTGCTGAACGAAGGCCTCCCCCAAGAGCGCCAACTATCCCGGTCTTCGGCAATCCACATCCATCCGCTGCCAGACACTTTCCTCAAGGCGTCGAACCATGATGTACATAAGTAATAAAACATACACATCTGACATACGAACGTGTGCTTTTTGTAATATTACTTTAAGAGTACTCAATCCACTTAAAAGGAAGACATCTACAGAAGCCCCTCAGTTCTTCAGCCACATCAATAATCTGTACTAGATATTCGTACCACTACTGACTCAAAATTGGGGTAAGGAGGCCCACCAAAGAGTCCTTAAGTCTACTCATTATAATGCAAGGTCCTAACTCAGGATACGTCGGCCTACCCTCCTGACCTACTGCAGACACATTAGCACGAATCCATAACAATATTTCCATAACAATATTTTAGGACTTCTATAAGGTTCTATAAAATTTGAAATTCAAAGCAAAAACATTTTTATTGGTTGAGTAATAGAGTTCAAATCAAAATTAGTAATTGTACATGGTTTGTTTTACAATTGACGTTGATTTAATATCATTTTTATTACAAGTCTGATAAAGTTGTTTGTTTAATGGCAAATAGATGCGTTATAGTAAAGGTTAATTCGACTATTTGTTTAGAAATCCACGGTAGGTTTTCGGTGGTATGTTGGTATGTTTGTCACGATCTCTGTTAGTGCACTGTTATGTGTATTAGGTGTTACCTAATATGGATGACACCGTTTCTTTATTAATTTACTTTCTTATTATAAATAAATTGAACGAGTTATGATAAATTTAGTATTTACATACAGTTTATTAATTAAGTATGTAAAAAGAAGAATTTAATATTGTGGGATGGGACAACACTTTGTGTGAGTCACAAATTGTTGTTCTGAGTCTGGGTATACTTTGTATCCGTGTCATGTATGTTTGTAAAGACTCCGCGTCACAAGATATACTTATTTCTGGACTTGTCTACCAAAAAGGTATTTTCATAATTTTGATTTTAAAATTGGTCCCTATTCAAACGCTTGTGTTCCATTCCACTGAGATTTTCATTATTCATTATGTTCATTATATTTATCGTGATATTTTCGAAATTACATTAATTTAAGATTGTGGTAGTAACAAACTCCTTTCCAATACATTCATATTTTGAAGTCGCAGTTCAATTAGGAGTGCAAAACCTCTTCCTTAAAGATTTTCTCAGGAGGAAAGTGCCCCTGTCCAGACGGCTCCAATTTTTTTTATGGCTTGGACGAGCAGACGGATCATCTGATGGTAAGTAACTAGCGCCACCCATGAAAACATGTAACTAAAGGGACACAAGTTCGCTACCACCCTTTAAGTACCCCCATCCCACTATACCAATCCATCTGGCCAGCATCAAAACCTCCTTTCTAAATAGAGACCTATATCCAGCCAGTGGACTGCCAAAGGCTGTTGATGATGATAAACCTCAACTACTAGGCGAAAGGACAAAAACAATATGCTAAACACCGGTTTTCCGTCACTCCGGCCGAGCCAGCCAATAGGATGTGCTGTGCTGCAGCCACTCTGGTCTGGTAATCCGATAAAATCCGATTATCATCCTACTGACAATAGGAACATACAACTATTATCTTTAGAGGCCAATTCCCATTCAACTGACTCCACGGTAGCATGGACCACTTATCATCAGATAGATACCAGTTTACCACCTTATTTGTTGAGGTATTATGTTACCTATACATTTTACGTAACGTCAATATGCAGGGTACAATTTCGTGACCCCAAATTAATATTTAATACGTAGCACACTCATTTACAGGTTACATAAACAAAATTTTATATTTCAGCAGTCTGAGGCAACGTAGTCGGTAGGTCACTAAAGATTTATGTTTGAATTGGAGTCCGTCTGTGAATATTCTTATTTACTACCCTTCGTAAACATATAATAACCAATTTTTAAACCGAACAAACAATTTGTTCGGATTAGTAATCGCTGCCAAAACCTGTCACAGCCAAAAAAATTGTATGCGAAGCCGTAACGGACTTATTTTTCTGTAGCACATAAAATTTCGTTATATTAGTTTAAGTAACTAAGTTACGAAAAAGAAACCAAGAAACTAATTTTCGCATGTAAATAATTAATAGGATAATAAAAAATAACTTGTCCAAAACTGAATAGCTTATAACGGAAGTGAAACAGCAATTTCACAATCCGGACATGGCGGCGAGGCGTCGTATTCGTACATGTAAATGTGCGCACGAGCAGCATTCTCGATCACCAACCCTTATTACATAACTTGTTGGTTGTACGCGATCTTTTTGCTAAATCAGAGCAGTTTTCACTTTCTTAGTTCAACCATTGTTATGTAAGATTTGCAAGACATTGTAACTTGCACTTGATAACTTGGGGTGGTAAAGTAAAATAAAAAAAATAGATAGAGAGGAAAATATTTTTCTTATCTCTGAGCCTTTTTTTCGAAATATGGTTAGAGTCGGCTTTAAATTTACTACAATACGGCTGAACTTCGATGTTCTACGAGGAGCGCCTGCCATCAGGCCACCACAACCCAAGTACTAGGCGATATCGAAGTTCTGTGGAAAGACTGTTGTCGGACGTTTCAGGGCTCCAACTACCCGTAACGATTGCCACAGATATTCGTATGGCAACCGGGACCAAACAGCTTGACGTACTCTCCGAGACACCCCCTCCGTGTCCCGGTCTCAATGTGTTAAGAATGGTCACCCATCCATAAAATGAACTAACTAGGATTGCTTAACTTTAAAAATGTGTTAACCTACTCGGTTACCACTTGTCTACGAGCCCTTTAGAGAAAATATTCATCATCATCAATGTATTTCAACCCAAACTCAACTCTCGTGTAAACGGGGCCAATATTTGCAGATACTTACATTCATAGGTTTCGGTAACGGTATCAGTGTCGCAAGTTCAATGGTTTTTTCCCATCTCAAAAAATCTATTCTTTTCCAACGCGCCTAAAGAAGTTTTCACTTCAAAAAAGAGAAAAAGGCAATTATAAATGAGATATCTTTTTCACACTTGTCTGGTGTTTAAAATCTGTCTGTCTTCGACACAATCATGAATTAAATTATCCTATTTCTAGAAGACACCGACCTTAATTAAATAGATAAAGTATAACTTAAGTGAAATGACCAATCAATGACTGTAAAGAGTGTGCCTAAGGGTCTGACAGGGTCCTGCTAATGCGCAATGCAAACAATATCGTTAAAGAAGCGTATTTGTATGTAGGAAACGGTTGGTGAGAGCATCGTGGTGGCACCGCATTACAATAGTACAAATTGATTAAAGGCCTGTCAAAGTCTGTGTGGAGACTGCCGAAATATGTTCGGTGTTACGTAGTACTACATGATGGAACTTTGAAACAGGCTCCTACTTTACGAATCAATGAACTGTTGTTATGAAACGGAACGGAAATTAATCTTTATTAATTTAGGTCAAAAGGTTACAACTATGCATTAAATAGTCGTTTGTTTGAGGTACAGAGTAATCTTTTCTATACAGAGTGTGAGGGAAACGCCCTTAAAACAAAGACAAACGATAGTATCAATGATTTTTGATCATGCTTCAGAAATAAATTCGTTCCCGATAAAAAAAGTTACCCTTTACAATGTTAAATTAGAGTAATTCACGCTAAAAAAGTTAAAAAAAAATACAGAAACTATAAATTTCATAAAAGCACATCACCTTACTAAAACGAAATGAAAAAGTAATCAACACAGCTGATCATGAACCTGATGAAGTGTAATAATGCTAATAATTTTTTTAAAAAGAGGAGTTTGTTCGTCGAGATTGCTTTTTTCTGACCCATCATCAAACTATCATTTTATTAGTACGCTCTGTCTTCGTTTTCAGGAGTGTTTCCTTACTACCCTGTGCATAAAGTAGCAATAACAAACCAGGTTAGCATCTTCTCTACTGCATCTTATAAGATTTTTTTATGTATAACATCTTTTTCTCGTTTTTCTGTCTATAGAAGTAATCAGATTTCAAGTGAGAACAGACGTACATGTGTAACAGAAAACGCGACGGCACACGATGCTAGGATACCGTCAGATGGTACCAAATTAATAAAAAAACCCTTAAACCTTGCACCTAGCGATATTAAATTAAAAAAAATGTAAAATAAATAAAATAAAAATAATTCTTTAGAAAAAGAAAAGTTTTTTTTTTAGAGTATAATGTTAATTTTGTGAGATATCAAACTTTACGCGATGACTGTAAGGCTAAATTGACATGCTTTATAAAAGCAATTTAGCAATTACCATGATTTAGTCTCACCTGAAAAACTTGACCACAGCTAACTTTCTTTGTCATATCAGTTTCAGAAAACTTATTATTTGTATAAAACCGTTGAAGAGCTTGTGTAGTTTCAAAACAAAAGTTGTACTAACTAATATTTTATTTTAGTTTTCAATCCCAAGTCCTGAACATATTTTTATCAGATTATTGAAGGTTTGATAAAAGTCCTCGGGGATAGTCTTTAGTGACCCTAGGTTTTGCAGCGAATGTGGCCACATACATCCTTAATTTGAGCACGGATGGCGTAGTGGTTAAAGCGGTCGCCACGCCGCTTCCTACTACGCCGAGTTTTGTGGGTTCAAACCCCACATGGGAAGACACTTTGTGAGATCCACAAATTGTTGTTCTGACTCTGGGTGTTCTTTGAGTCCGTTTCATCTATGTTTGTAAAGTCCCCCGCGACACAGGATATATTCCTAATGCGGAAGTTGTCTTTAAAAACAAAAAAAAATATTCTTTAATAACTTGACACATCTCGCCGTCTGATTCCAACATAGGCAGAACTTGTGCTATGGTAACCAGACTGCTGATAAACATACTTATCTATTTCTAAATATATTAATTTTATAGATAAATAACACCCACACACAGAACAAATAATCGTGCTCATCACACAATTATTTGTCCCCAGTGAGGATTGAACCTTCGACCTCTGACTTAGCAGTTAGGGTAGTGACCCTAACTGCAATCAATGCAGGTTGTGCAAAGTGTTATCGAACGCACTTTTAGTCTCAAGTCTCCCAAAAGTTAACGATATTTTAATATTTAAACAATAAATTCTAATCATAACACTAGTTTTCGTTTTTTCATGAATTTCGTGTACCTTTAAAGAAAAAATGACTTTAGCAGCACGATTAATTCATACCCGGCTGAAATTGCACGGAAAAATATTACAGTAAACTCGAAACCTTTGGGTATTGAATTTGTAGTCTAAGAAATACATCCTAGATTACAAGATTATTAAATTATTATCTATTATAAATATCATAACCAAAATACACTCTCACCACTAAGACTTTCAAATGAAAATAAATAGTTTGCCAAGTATAAGTATGAAAGCAATTATCATGCGAAGCATGCGCGCACCTCGCGTGCCTTGCCGCCCAAAGGATCACGTATAAAAACCAAGCCCATCGAAAAATTAAATCATTGTTGCTCCATTAATCGGCCGGGCCGAACGTCAATTAATTAAATCTAATGACAAAGTGTTAACTCAAAATGAAGTGTCTGTGTTTAATCCTGGCTTCGGTCGCCATTGTGCGCGGATACTCTATAAATGACAATGAAATTGAAACGGCACGTTTAAGGACAAGTGATGAGTTACTCCAGAGTGTGATGAGTGATTGTTTCGAGGCTGAGTCACCGATGACATGTCTCAAAGTGAAAGTTCTCTCGTTCCTGGACACGAAGCTTGGCAAGAGCTCAGAATCAGCAAGAGCCTTCGACGATAAGAACATCGATAAAGTGATCTTTGACCGCGCCGGCAAGGTTCTGCAGAGCGAGGACATCAAATTCCAACTCCCTGAGTTCCTGTTTGACAGTGCTGAAGTTTCCTACAGAGCTGATAGGGGTCTGGATGTGAAATTCCCTGAAACTGAGAATGAAAACGGTGCAGGTAATGCATGAGATCAACAAAGCTTTCATCAGTAACCTTATGAAATTCTCTAAGTGCATTGTTTTTTACAGCTCGTGGCATCTTGAAGAAGAAGTTGCTGCTGCCTGTCCTTCTGCTCCTCAAACTGAAGATGAAGGCATTAATGCCAATTCTGGTGGCTATTATTGGCATCAAATCGATCAAGGCCTTAATCCTTAGCAAGCTGGCAATCACTCTCGTTCTTGGTTTCCTCATCTACAACTTGATAATGAAAAAAGGAGGTTAGATATGAAACTACCAAGAATATGCTATACCAATAAAATGATCAAATTGTATAATAATACCTTATTCCTTTTGTTAGCAGCCATGCCCATGATGATGATGCCAACGGACGCCCCTCCTGCATCCCAATACGGTCCCCCGGCCTCTCAATACGGACCACCATCAACACCCGCTCCATCAGCTCCTCAAGACTCCTACAGCCCAGCCTGGGAGCCTGCCAATGGTGGTCCTTATGCTAGGGTTTGGGATCCTTCTCAACTTGCCTACAGTTCATACTACCCTGGTGACTCCAGCTCATCCGCATCTTCGAACCCGTCACCCAGCTACTCCAGTGTTTCATCCGCCTCGTCATCGCTCTCTTCGTCACCATCTTCATCCACCTACTGAACCAAGTACCTCATGTAAATACGCACGGAAACGCAATGTACATAGTGTTTTGACGCACGCACCAGAAACGGATAGGGTCTAGAAGAGTTATTTATTGACGATATTTATTTTTTATTTATTATAAATAATAAAGAAACTGACGTTTTGAGAGCGGATATTATTTCTGACATCCTGAATAAAACTCAACTGAAATTATTTCAAAGCAACCTAAATTTTGCTTGAGATCCTTCACTTAATCCTACAATGAACTTGTTTGAAATCAACCTACATATTATGCTATATAATTTCTTTAGGGCTTTTTACGATGGTTCTATAAATGCATCATTCAACTTTCACTCAAACCATTTATCATAAGGAGTCCAATATACATTGTCCCACTTCATACCTTAGCACGTAACACTATAGATTATTTGGTCAATGGAATATGACAACGACTGTATACTTATGAGTAACTAGCTGTGCCCTGGCACGCTTCGCTGTGACACATTGTGGTGGCATTCATGAGAAAGAAGGCATAAAACTGACGCGCAAAGTAGATAAAAAAAATCTTTATACAAGATGTCAAAATTTGAGTTCAATCGGTACAGAACTTTTTAGTAATTGAAGCGTACACAAACCTAACTTTTTTTTTACATACGAGTAGGTGTATAGATGTTTATGATCTAGCTACATATGTTAGTTGTGTAATAGTGGTTTCCTAGACATTTTATCACCATATAATATTCATTAATTACTCGAAAAAGCACGAACAAAGTTTCCACCAATTAATATTTTACTGTTTACTGAAATTTACAGTTATTTCCTTATTCGAGGAAAAATCGCGTGGCGAAAATACTATTGCATTCTCATTATATAACCAGGAAATCATATCATAACCAGCTGTTGTAGAAATTAAATTACTTGTGAGTTTGGACGTGATTGTAACTCGTTCGATTTTTGAGATGTTCATTTATTTTATTATGAAAATACCTAATTATTATTTTTTAAAGTAAATATTCTTAGAAAGGGAACAGCTGTCTATAGGTAGCTTAGAATAAATTTAGATCAGATCAGTAAATTTCTGCATGTGCTGTAGAATTGTATCTTTACAGAAATCTTAAGTTATAAATAAGGAAGTACCTAACACCACGAATGTTCTATCCTAAGTTTTATTAGTATATTACATCTAGTGTCCGACCGAAACATTGTTTTTAGCCGAAACCGAACTTTCGGCCCTTGTTTTAGATTCGGCGGCAACCGAAACTCAAACTATTATTTTAAAAATTTCGACTGTATACTGAAATCTAGTGTATTTTTTAGCCATTTATCTGTTATATCTACATACCACATAAAACCACTTGAAGAAGATAGAATTCTAAATAGGAGAAAATGTATTTAGGAAGCTAGATGAAAAAAAAAACTAGATAGGTACCTAGCACTAGAACTTCAAAATTCACCTGACCAAATTAACTAAATAAACCTCACGCAGGAAAAGATGAGGTGAAGTGGCTGACAATGCGCTTATTCTCATAGTTAAAGTTAAGCAACTTAAGATCACACCTAATAAGTTTTTTGGGCGCTATGGTTTCTAAGTGCAGCTCGTGTAGAGTTACAATGGTTTCTCGTGCAGTGTGAAGTCTTGCGTTATCATGGAGCAATAATGGTAAAGGTCGATTTATGTGTCGGGGCTGTTCCACTGCAAGTTTTGGCATCATTGTTCGAAGTTCGGAACAGCAAACGTCTTCTGTTATTACCTGACCAGACCTGAGAAAGCTATAATTAATAACACCATGAAGAGACCACCAAACAGTTACCATTACCTTTTTATTGGTAAGCTTTGCACTGTAGCGGCGTGTGTCAGCCCTTGCATTTTTCGCTGACGTTTATCGTAAACAATCCTCTTTTCGTCACTTGTCACAATTCGATCTAATATGCCTCATTCCTGTACCGATTCAACAAGGCAGCACGATTTTCAACACGCATTTCTTTCTGCAGATCAGTCAAATCATGAGGCATTCATTTTTCATATTAATTTATCTTATTGATTTGATGCAAATTAGTCAATATTGTAGGTAGGGTAACCGTAAACCATGCCCCTAATTCCTGGGTAGTTTGACTCGTCATCATCATCAACAGCCTATACTAGTCCACTGCTGGACATAGGCCTCTCCTTAGAAAGGAGGTTTTGGCCTACTATACCACGCTGGCCAGACGGGTTGGTATAGGGTTTGTTTCAAGTTTTCCTTCTCTTTGCAGTGCTGTTGTCCTGCTTAGTTTGCTCCCTTAGTCGGCTCTTACGACACCCACGGGATGAATTGGGGTGGTGACAAATTGTATTCTTAATCCGTCACCACACGGTTCAGCGTTATTCACCTGTTTAAGCAGTCTTCCACGTAGTTTGTTTTTCTCGTTTAAACCAAAAACGCAGGGTGCCTTCATTAACAGTCTCCTCTCCAAACGCAGCGTTGATATTGCGTGCCGTTTCTGCCACGTTAGCTCCGCGTCGGAATTTGTAATCAAATTCGTATTAAAAAATGATTCGGCTTTTCGAAGTATCCATCTTTCACGTCTAAGCTGAATAAAAGAAACAGTTGCAAGTCGAAAATCGAATTTTGCACATTTTGTAAAAGAAGAACCTCAGGTATCATGTGAAAAAAGTTTCACACGAAAATCTCATACCATGAAGGTTTTATATCAATTCAAAGTATCGATTACTATACAACGGCAATTTCATACTTTAACCCTTATTATTACGTACACAATGAAGCCAATAAACTTATATAGTATTACATTCGCTCAAAAAATCTGTATTATTTTACTCATCGTTGGACACTGCTGAGCCGATTGTATTACTAGGCATGAATCTTCACTTTCTTTTAATGTCTCCTAATGCGATTCGCGCTCTGCCTGTTTAATTTTAATGATAGATGTAGACGGTAGTAGGTCTCAGCTTAAAGAATAAATAACTAAGGATGTATTGATATTCTTTTTTGTACTACAATTAGAGTATTTATTCCTTTCAAAGAGAGTTAAAATAGACAACACAATTCAGTAGGTCATTATATTGTATGCTCATTAGCTCAAACTCATGCCTTAGTGTCATTAATAATAAAAAGTTCATATACAACGTTCGACAAACCAACAGGTCAGCCATTTTCTAAAAAAGTCGTTGTTCTTTAATAATAAATAAGTAAAATCACAACTATACACCGTTCACTATTTATAACAAAAACACGATATATAATAATAGTAATTACTTAACACATCACACGGCGTCTAATTCCAAACTATGTAGAGCCGCGATGGAACCTTACTTATATATTATACCCATACACAGACCAAAATTTCGTGCTCACACCAGTTTGTTTGTCCTGGGTGGGAATCGAACCCGCGACCTCTAGCTTAGTAGTCAGGATCACTTACCACTGGACCAACATGCCCGGGTCTTGAGTTATGCTTATAATACATCGCGTTCACTCCTAGATAATTTACAGCCCATCTACACCAAGAAGTCGTCTATATACGATTTGATAGGTTGCCGCTAAAACAACACCTAATATAAACTTACCCGTTCGTAGGTATTTGCTATTACACAGTTACGAGAAACAGTATCAACGGAAGCAGCACATAGTTTACACCACGGATACGTATCGTCGGTTATCATAATTCATAATTCATAATTCATAATACTTTATTTGTGGAATATAGGTTAGTTACAGATCTTAAATGTTATGTTAAAGTTCCACTACATCCTACCACATTACGTGGTGTACAAATAATAAATGGAGAAAATAATAATTACAATTTAAATACATCACAAAAGAAAGAAGAAAAGACAATTTATGCGTCTACAAATATTGAGTCCAAATAATTACATATTAATTTTTCTGTATGTCAATTTTTAAATCATTATTAGCATGCCAATATTAAAATAATTCTACATAATAATATATATTACATTATTTTGTCATGGAAATATTCGTCAACAGAGTAATAAGCTTTCAATATTAAAAATTCTTTCAATTTATTTTTAAATGACTGTACATTTTCTGAATTTAGAATACATTTGGGCAGCTTGTTATAGATTTTAGGTGCCATGACAAATATGCTTTTGTGATATAGGGCGGTTTTAGCTTGAACCATATGTAGCTTACCAGCTCTGCGGTTACTTGACACCTTTGAAAATTTTGACCAGTTTCGTCTAACAAAAAGCGCACTTTCAAAAATATAAATGGATGGCATTGTGAGTAGTTTTAATTTTACAAAGTATGATTTACATGTGTCAGTAGCCAAGATATTACATATTGCCCTTATGCAGCGTTTTTGAGACTTGAAAACTAATTCTTTACCCGCTGCATTGCCCCAAAATATAATTCCGTATCTTATCGTTGATGCGACCAAGCCATGATAGGCAGCGAGAATTGTGTCTTGGTTAACGGTTTTGTTTAGCATGTGTAGTGCATACGCATATTGGTTTAGTTTACCACACACCTTTTCAATTTGTGCATGCCACTTTAGAGTACTTTCAATTTGCAAACCCAAGAATGATGCTACTTTAATGTCAGTAATACTTTTATTGTCGTATTTAATGTTTATCTTGTATAATCTTTGAGATCTGAGAGACTCGGTTGAGATTGAGAAATCATTTCATTGCAAAAGAAATGTGTGTGAGCGATTTGTGGAGCCTGGTATACAGATAATACTAGTAGCTGTAAACCACTGTTTAAAAAATTAGTATCCATTCGCTGGTGGAAATCTGTGTTTTTATTAAACTGCATCCTTAGTATTTTAGCACTTATTCAAAACAAAAGAAAATTAAGCTTTAGTGTCTCCGATGCCCCAAGAAAATATTAAATAAAAATTGTAACAGAAGGGCCATAGAAGTGTACAACAAATTACCCAATAAATTCAAAGATTTAGCACTCACTTTATTTAAGAAAAAAATGACACTGTAGTTAGAAATATGTTTTTATGCTCGGAATGAATTAATCCATATAAGGAAAATTAATGTCAAACATTCTAGACATACTAGGTGCTAGGTTTACATGCACTTTTTTTTAAATTAATTAATTATTACTTACAACAGTGGCATCGCATTATTTGTATTTTTTGACATTAATTAGATAAATAATTTTATTAAATGTATGCTAATTATTGTGATCAATTAAAATTTTGTTTGAAAGATCGACATACTTATGTATTTACAAACCTATACAATATAAGAATATTCACCATTATGTTACCACATTAACCGACAATGACGAAATAAACTAGAAGGTGTCTATTGCTATGATAATGTTATATTGAGGGTCGTACTTATTTTAGTTGATTCACTTAGATTTGTAATTATTTCTTTAGTTTTTAGTGCTCTTTAATAATGTTGTTTGTAATGAGTAGATAAGTACGATATTTAAAAACACTACGTACTGTAATGCATATTACCAAACTGTAGTATGTTAGTTTATATTAAATTTAGTTTAATAAGTCCGTTACTTTATTTAGATTCGATTTAGAAGATTTATTAGATTAGATTATTTAGATTAGATTTGAACCCAAAAATATATTCTTTTTCACATTACTTAATTTTCCACCACTATGACATAAATGCAATTACCTATATAGCTAGAGAAACCAGCTAAAAGACGTTGTCGGGACCTCGAAATCTCTAGGATCTCATCATCAGATCCTGATTTGGTGGTAATGGGACCACCCCGGAAGTATACCCTTACGATTACATAAAGAATTTTGAAAATCGGTCCACAATTGACGGAAATACCGCTAACAAACATACAAAAAAAATACAGTCGAATTAAGAAACTCCTCTTTTGTGGTTAAAAATAAAAAGCACGGCACGCCGCGCCGTACTGTTGTTGTTGTTGCGCCGCGGCATGGCGTCCACTTGTAATCATTGTTTCTCCTAATATAATCTAGACAACTAGGTATTTCAATGCCTCTGCCTACCTACCTTCTTGAGTTGCAGGTTTCTTTGGGCGACTTTAGTTACTTACAATCGGGTGACCCGTCTGCTCTTATAACATAAAAATTTATAAAAAAAGTCAGGTAAACTTATTACATTTATATAACATCTTTAGATTGTGCAGAGTCCATAAAAATATGTAAACCTTCTACTTAATAATATTATGGTTTTTTTTTAAAATACCATAGCAAGAAGGCTCATCGTTACAGCTGGATTTTTAATCTTTATCAAATCGATAAATTTGAAATAATATATTTCAGTAAGCATAGAATCAAATATTAACGGCAAAAATATGAATAAATAAAACAAATTATATTAAATATAAATAAAAAAAAAATAGAGTGTTATAAGTAAAAGTATAATAAAAGTTCAAAAAAGCATTCCTATGCGGGGTTCGAACTTGGAACACAGTTGTATAGATAGTCGTACAAAAACACAATAACTTTATGGAGATCACAATATAGTTTCTAAAATAACATAAAGAAACGATAAATGTAGCAATACTTAGGTGCACACAAATTTACAGAAACATGCATGTGTTTTAGTGAAGCATCAGTTTACCCACTTTAAATAAATGTGACATACAGCTATGGCAACTGACGACACTGCGTTGGGTAGTGGGAGCTTTCTTACATCACGTCCAAATAGCCGTTTGTATTATACAGCGCACACAAATTTTGCGGCGAAATTTAGAACTATTTGTTCTCTACAAATTTTAAGAGATGGCAGTAGTATGTCTTTCTAAGTTGTGATTTTCTCTACCCAATTTTTACTCTTAATTATATTGGTGAGCATTATTTTAAAAATATTTTTACACAGATATACGTGTGATAGAAAATTTGATTGTTGCTTTTTTCAATTACTTGATTAGTTTTTTATTACAAATGGCGTTACTCGTACCTCTATTGACTTGGAGTATGACACCAATAGAGATCAGCATGGAATAATAATAATAATATTCTTCCACATTCAAGCAACGCCATCTAGTCCCAAACTAAGCAGAGTTTGTACTATTGGTAGTAGACAACTGATATAAATACATATATACTTTTTTTTTATAAATACATACATATTATTATTCCTTAGAATGCCAATTTCCTATCCCTTGTATAGGTCCATAAACTGTAATTTTACAAAATTTCTGTCTACTTCAATGGGATTAACAAAAATACTAAATGACACGAATGTGGACTGAAAAATACGCTATTCTGTTATTATTTTTTTGTGTAGACTAGACAAGCGCAGCTACACTTTTCAATTAATCATATTGTTATATAAAATAATAATATATAATAAATTTTGAGCAGCTGTATTATTTATTCTTATTTTCAGTCACCCCGCCGGGGCTCTCGTTCGGCGGGGCGGTGTGTCGGACTCGAACCGACTAAAACCACACGGTGTGCCCTCTTTGCGCTTCCAGTCCGCCGGCCCGCTGCTGTTGTGGGCTCCGTCTCAAAATTTTCCTCTCTTTAGGCGACGTCCGGCAGACGTGGACGCCGCCCCCTCGCGGCTGACCAACTAATGCGGGTGGAGGGGAGAACCCATCCCGTCCACCCGCGGCCACACTCAGGGCGGCATGAGGCGCAGGTGAGCGCGCCTCCGCTGCCCGGTTCGCCGGCGGCGGATCAGGTCCGAGTGGAGGTCGTCCTCCCGGGCCTTCTCCGCCGCCTCCGTCTGCGAGATTACCTCCTCGCAGAAGGTTGCGACTGCGATAAAACCACTGTCGCTACCGGCCATGGAGCGATGACGTAACCTCTCTGCACCAACCTTACAAGATTTCTACACCACCCAAAGGTAGAACTGGTAACTAGGTACTGGAAGAGAATGCCCTTGGCATTAAGTGCGTACATAATCCAAGTTTATTATACATCAACTTGATCTAGTCGGCGAGCGCGTTCGTCGTTGCGATTGGTGAAGATTTCAGCGTGGGTTAACCGAATCGGTCGTCCGATCAAGGAGCTGTGAAATGAACTCACACTAAGCCTCTGAACAGACGAATTGATATTGATTTATAACTGTTGTTATTGAATATTTTTGTGTTTCTGATCTTGTCTTTTTGACTTACTATTTGTTTTCTGCTTTTATTGTTTACTATTTGTTTTATTGTTAGGATTGTGTTATGTATGTCAAAATAAAAGAAACTAATAATTATTATACTTATTGTTTTATTTTGTTGTAAAAATGTTAATTGATAAATTTAGCGACTAGAGTATGGCCATTTTTTATTAGTGGTTTTTTGGTGGTTTTCGATGTTGAAACAGGTGGAGTTCATTTAATTGTTGACAACACTGGTTACAAAATTCGAAAAGGAACAAAGTGATTTGGTGGTTATGGGCATGTCAAGTTTTGTATTGTATCAAATGCTAAGATATTTCTATGTTGCAGAGCAATACATACGTACATTTTGTAATAACCACTTACTAATACCGATTAATTTGACTATTTATGATGCTAAGCCGTAATAAAAACCGTATAGAAAGTTTGACGGTGTATAATGAAGTAGCCTATCAATCTTTATCCACGGAAATTTGTAGAATATGTTTGAAGGAGGGTGAAATTCCTATTTTCGGTCAAGATGATAAATCTGAAGATGTGGTGGAGTTCGGAGGTATAGAAATCGCTGCCGATGATAATCTACCACAGCACCTATGCTATTCTTGCAATTCACTTTTGGAATCAGCAATAGTATTTAGAACAACTGCCAAGAAATCTGACGAAATACTCAAAAACACTGAGTATCTAGATTTATCAATATTATCTGAAGATCAGAATTATGTTTCTGACAATATTAGTGAAACTGATAATGAACCCTTTATTAAAAGAGAATATTTGGAAAACAATTATAGCTCAGAATCAGAGAGTGAACTAACTCTGAAGTATGAAGTTGAGTCAGACAATGAACAGTTAATGAACATTAAATCAGAACCCAGTATTGAAATTGGAACAGATATTGAAATATCTGTTCCAAAAAAAGAAATTGAAATGCAGTTATTGAATTTAAAGGATGAAGATGAGAATATTGATGTAGATAATGAGTTGGTGATGATTATTGTATCAGACAAAGAAAAACCTAATAAAAGTTCATTTAGTTGTTTGAAATGTAACATTACATTTAAAAATCACGCTGAGCTCGAACAACATGAATCAATAAATCACCCTGAAACCCCTATGTGGTGTAAGAAATGTGACATTTGTCATGAGTCTGTCCATAAAAATAAATTCAAACTACATATAAAACAACATAGGCAGATGTATAAAGAGAAACATAATAAAAAATATGGTAAAGTGGAATGTGAGGTTTGCAGTAAAAAGGTTAACAAAACATATTATAAATACCACATAAAAATGCATGGCACAGCGGAAGAACAAGCTGATAGATTTGTTGAGTGCACAATCTGCAACAAAACCTTTACTGCACTTTACTACAGTGAACACTTGAAACGAGTCCATAACAAAACATTCAGACCCAAACAAACATCACAAACGCCTGATGAGAATGAATCAAAAATCCAAGTTATAATGCAGTGTCCTATTTGTGATAGAAACGTAAATGAAAATATTTATAAAGAGCATTTGGCTAAGCACGGAGGCCCTACAAGACGGTACATTTGTGATAAATGTGGAAGAGCATTTAAACATCCATCAGCATTCAAAACCCATACATTAACACATGGTAGTGAACTAAAATACCAATGCCAGTTTTGTCCATATCGTGGCTTACATTTAGGGCTTCTAAAGGTTCATGTGAGAACCCACACTGGCGATTACAACTACAAATGTTCCGAATGCCCCGCACGGTTCATCACAAAGAGTAATTTAAGTAAACATTTAATAAGACATAGAGGGCTTTGCAAATTCAAGTGTGGTACATGCAATAAAGGGTTTTATAGTAAACGGGATGTTGATAAACACATTAGAACTGTTCATTTGGATTTAAAGAATAATGTTTGTGATAAATGTGGCAAAGGTTTTGGACACAGGGACAATTTGCTGGGTCATCAGCTTAAAGTACATAAAAGAGAAAAAATGGAAAGAAGGGGTCGTATGCCATCATACTTGAAAGAAGAGTATAAAAAAAGTTGATCTTCTGTTTTTAATACAATGTACATTAATAATTATCAGTATATTAAAATTTAATATCATAGACTCATTGTTTTGTGTTTTAATACTTGAAAAGATTAAATCTTTCTGACCCATGGACTGCCTTCCTTTATATACATATAATAAACATAGCATTTTCCATAATGATAAGTGTTGACTGTAAAGTATATCTGTTAAGTAGACAAGTTCGTATGAACCATAATTTCTTATGGTTCTTAAAATTCAATATTAATGTTCAAAATTATAAACTGGAGTGATACTACTGCTTCACATAAAACTCTTGATAAGCAATTCTGTCTTTGCTTTTCTTCCTAAATCTGAGGGGAGGACTCGAAAGATTTCAACATACTTGTAACTTGTTACAGATGTTCACGGAACTGGCTTGGGCACTATCGGGAACTTTATTTTGATAGCACAAAAAAAATACCCGATTTTTTTTTCCAAACAGAACATGTCGGTCACTGGTTTAAAAGTTATAAGCAGTTATAGGTGGCCGACCTAGGGTCAGTGTCACCAGCTTCGCCACGCTTATATTTCCAAAACTAGAGCACCTAACGAAGATTTGTTTTCACCTAAATTTATTCGCTTATTAGTCGAACTTTGTCGCCAAATATCAGAATTCATCAGTGACTGGTTCAAAAGTTAAAAGCGTTCCTAGTTGGCCGACCTAGAAGAATCTTTCCAGGTTGGCCACACTCATATCTCAGAATTTTATTTTATTTTCTCCTTTTCCTATTCAATTTAGTCACAATTTTTGCACATTTTTTTGTCACAAAGTTAGTCGGGTCTTAGTTTAGTAGATATTTCGATTTTTAAGGTAGGTAGATATAATCTAAGTATCACCCAAGGCAAAGCAGCGATAGTTACTTTCCATCAGGTAACCCATCTGCTCACTTGCCCTCCTATGCCTACCATAAAAGGAAACAAAAAATATATAAAACCAGAAATAACTTTCACGCAAAAGGTTTTATGGCACTTAGTTAAAATTGAGAATAATGCATTTTCCTTAAATATGTATTGTAACTGGTACAGTCATTGTCTTTGTTTCCTGTAGTCAGCAGTGGTGATGTATGAGAACCTTAAAACATATGCTTTCATTTTCCAGTAGGGAATATAAAGACTTCTAATTGAGATGAGCGCTCCATTCAATAGATAACTGGTAACATACAGGTAATCTTCTACTAAGCTCGAGAAGCTGTTAGGTTGTAAGAGTTTTGTGTTTATCTACTATTTTTGAAAGGTTTCTGTGTAGGATAAACAACGTACATATATGATAATCTTTAGTAGTTCCAGGAGAAGCAAACGGGCTTGGTTGAACTCGCTAACGCGCCGGCGAAAAGTGAAGTAAGCAATATTAGGAATCTAAAATTGCTATAGGCACTTATAAGGCCGGTTTTAATAAGACTCAAGAGGCCTGTTAGATTAGTAGCTAGTGATTCTGACTAGTAAGCCAGAAGAAAGGAAATGGGATCTAGTCCCACCCAGGACAAACAACTGTGTGATGAGAGCGATCATTGTTCTGTTTGGGTCAAGATTTCCTCCAAGATGTAGCCATGTATTCCGAAAGAAATAAGTTTATTCATCAGCATCCTGTTTACTGTAGTGGGGTCTGTCCTTATTTTAAAATCAAATACACAAATACACGTCGTGGAAAGTTATTATTAGTAGTAAAAACCTACATTTTTTCACGGGTATGGTTAATCACGCTCACAAAGTGGTAACATAAATACATAAAAAGAAACATGTAAGATTGTAACATTCGGAATAGTTTTTCCTGAATTAACACAGAGTGAATAAACCTTTTAAAAACATTAAGGGAGTGCAATTATTATATTAGGTTAAGTGTTTGCGTTTCTTTAAAAATTCGGCAACCTAGATTGCGACTTGCGAGTGGCCTAACACGCACTTGGCCGGGATTTTTTTTCTTATCTCATCTGGCAGCAAAACACAAATTCTTGCATTATCTGTACTGCACTTGTATATTTTTCTGTGATGAAAGACACTATCAGACGGGCAGTTGACACCATAATAAGTTGCTGTAATAGCATTTAATTCTTGTTATTACTGTGAAATGTAAGAATTTACGGTTTCAATCGCCGGTTAGGTATAAACAAACATAATCCTAACATCATAGCTAAAGTGACGTAAGCTTTTATTCATAATCATGTTGACATTATACTATTTAATAAAAAAATCAGGGAGAAAAACAAAGCGTGGCTTTAGGCAATATTATGAAAATTTAACTGTAAATAAAGGTGTAAAAATCAAAGAAGATAGGATTTCTAAGTGTCGAGTGTGTTTACAAGAAGGTTCTATTCCATTATATGGTCAAGAAAATACTCCATTTGTTTTAGAAACACTTCAGAGTATTAGTACTATTCAGTTAATTGAAAGTGATGAATATCCAAAATACTTATGCAATGTATGCAACGAATTTGTACTGAGTGCCATATTATTTAAGGAACAAGCTGTCAAAACTGATAAAATTCTTAAAAATCCAGTGAAACAAGAAACATTCATTGATCAATATTCTGAACAAGACTGCAGTGACAACAGTGAATATGATGCAAAACCTACTGAAAAGGAAAGTAAATGTGAAATTAAAAAGGAGAAAAAAGTTAAGATTAAATATGCAGCAAAAGTTACATGTAACATATGTAATAAGGTAATAAATAGATCTTATTACAAAGAACATATGACAATGCATGACCCAGACCACAAGAAGTATGTTTGTGATGTCTGTGGTAAATCATTTCGTCTACGGTGTGCATATCACAATCACAGCTTACGACATAGAAATGACTTCCCTCACAAATGTCAATATTGTCCTTACAAAGCAAGATATTTAGAACTGTTAAAAACCCATATGAGAACACATACTGGTGACTACAGATATATGTGTACAGAATGTCCAGCTAGATTCTTATTTAAGAGCAATCTAAACAGTCACATGCTAAAACACAAGGAGCCACAATTCAAGTGTGATGCCTGCAAGAGGGCATTCCATACAAAACTTATGCTCCAAAGGCATTTTGAAGCAGATCACTTGGGAATAAAAAATCATGTTTGTAATCTATGTGGAAAAGCATTTGGCTATAGAAATGCTATGATGAAACATCAAAGGCATGTGCATAAAAGAGAAAAGATGCTATTTGGGCGGAAGCCAGCTTACTTAGAAGCTGAACATAGAAATGAGGATGGTTAATAACAAGATCGTTATCTTGTGAATCAAACTATCAGCTGTCATATAGCACTCAAATGGTATTTGTCTTTTTTCAAATAAAAATGGTATTTTATTACATAGGATTTAACAATGTATATTCCTGTAAATCTTAATTACTACACAAAAAAGCTATTACATAGCTTAATAATAGGTGTTAAAGTATGAAATTGCCGTTGTAAAGTTATAGATATTTTGAATTGACATGAAACCTTTCGTGTAAAACTTTTTCTTATGATTCATAATGAGGCTCTTCTTTTAATCTCTTCTTTCAATTGCTTTTTTTTTATTCAGCTTAGACGTAATACTTCCAAAATCTGAATCCGAATTGAATACAAGTTCCGACGCGAAACTAACGCGGCAGAAAACGGCTCGCAATATCAACGTTACGTTCGGAGAGGAGACTGCTAATGAACGCATCGTACGTTTTTGGCTTAAACGCTTTCGTAATGGAAACTTCGACTTGAAAAACGAACAACATGTCAGACCGCCCACACAGGTGAATAACGCTGAATTGAAGGAGATGGTGAAAGCCGATCCGAGTCAAACTCCCCAGGAATTAGCGGCATGGTTTAACGTTACCCTACCTACAATATTGACTCATTTGCATCATATCAATAAAATTAAAAAATATGAAAAATGGGTGGGCTCATGATTTGACTGATCTGCAGAAAGAAATGCGTGTTGAAACTTGTGTTGCCTTGTTAAATCGGTACAGAAATGAAAGAATATTGGATCGAATTGTGACCAGTGACAAAAAGTGGATTGTTTACTTTATCGCAAGCGAAAAATGCAATGGCTGACCCCAGGTAAAATGCCGCAACAAAGCTTACCAATAAAAAGGTAATGGTAACTGTTTGGAGGTCTCTTCATGGTGTTATTCAATATGGCTTTCTCAGGTCTGGTCAGGCAATAACAGCAGATGTTTACTGTGCCGAACTTCGAACAATGATGGCGGAACTGGCAGTGAAACAGCCCAGACTCGTACATCGGTAACGCATGCTTCATGATAACGCAAGGCCTCACACTGTACGAAAAACCGTTGTAACTCTACAGGAGCTGCAGTTATAAACCATACGTCACCCTCCGTAATCGCCAGACCATGCTTTGGACAATTATCAACGTGTTAAAAAAAAAATGCTTCCCAGGAGGCAATACAAAATGCTTTCACACATTTATGCCTTTACGGTAGAACTCTGGGGACCCCAGAGTTCTACCGTAAAGGCATAAATGAACTTCAGTTTAGATGGCAGCAATGTATAGATAATGAGGGTAAATATTTTGATTAAATAAATATGTTCGTTCTTAGAAAAAACGAGTTTAAATATTTTAGTACAAATCGGCAAGTTCCTGTGTCATATCACACATTATTAGAACGTAGTTCTTTATCACGGGTTACACGCTTTGAGCGGATGGGAGCTAGAACATTGATATAATACTTACATAGATGAGTAATTACCGCCTAAAATCGTTGCTACTGCACATCTGTCCACAGGCATATGCGTAGCAAACGTCAATTCAGTGTTAAATGTGGCGTCAACCGAGTTGAACATAGCGACACATGACAGTAACAATCGCCAAAATGGGTAAATGCGTAGTGAAAGAATGCGATTCAAGGTCACAAAACCATAATAAATCATGCGGAATTACTTATCACGTGTAAGTTTATGGTTTTTGTATTGAAAATATCGTAAATAAGGCTATAATTGAAATAAAACATTGATAATTGTAATTTAGAATCAGTGTTACCATTAAAAAATCATTTTTGTTTTCCCACATTAGTGGGAGAATTTATAATTTATGAAATAATATGCTTTATACTGTTTTTAAACATTTTGTCAATAATAATAGAATATAGGAAGAACGGTAGTGGTTAGGGCTGAATCGATCACTTTTTTTAGGGACCCGTTGAACGTTCACCTTCTGCCAAACTCACAGTGCTGGAGACTTTTGTATAAAAGAATTAATTCATTCATTCATTCATTTTTCTTAATTAATTATCAAATATAAATAACAATTGTACAAAAAAAATTATATAGATAAAATAAAAAAGTAAATAAATATAAATAAAAAAATATAAAAAACAAAAAAAAAAATATTTTTTTTATTTGTATTTTAAAATATTAAAATAATTTGCAATACACCCTGGGGATTATTTATTATCAGTACAAGTTGATCATTCACTTTTACTATTAAATGCCATTATTTATACATAGGTAAAAATAAGATTGTATCATGAAAGTAAAATATTCACACAAACTTATAAAAAAAGAGTCTAAAAGACAATTGTATACAAAACTGATGCTTCATAGCGGAGTTTGATTTTACACTGAATATAAACCCTTTTAAACAAATATTTCTAGTTATTTTATTATTTATACCTATTCCATTCAATTCGAAATATATTATTTAAAATATTTAAATTAAATTATTTTATTACAAAATTGTTTAAAAAAAAAATTGTTTCTTGGTTGTTATGGGTAAAATTTCATACGGTAGTCAACACTGGCCCACCATCGTAAAGTTATGTCTTTGTCTTTGTCTAATCCGAGCTTTGGTATTGTTCTTGTCTCGCGTGTAAATGAGACATAAATATGTTTACTTTCAAATGTTTAGTGGTATCAAAGCTACGTCGTCAAAGTTCAAAAGTGGTTACACTTTTTTCGACGTGTGATAATGAGGTTTGCTTCTCTAGTGTTGTTTTAACTCAATGAGCTAGAACGAAAAATGTGGAGCTCAATCGGTGCAGAACTTTTTGAGTTTTTGAATACAATGGTTTTATAAGCGTACACAAACCAATTTAACAATTTATATATAAAACTGTTAGTGAATGCATTGGAGGTTTAAAATAGTTTTTTTTTTAAATGAAATGTAATGCTCGTTTAAAGCTCAAATTCGCTTGGCCAGTAGTTTTGAAGTTACAAAAATTTTAATTACCATTAAACTGCTGTGCAACGTCACCGTACAACCCACCGCTCTCATTTTTGATATAAACTTCATACAAACAGGATAACTATGAACGCGGTGCGCTGTAGGTGACTGTTAAGAATCGACGTCACAGCATCGGATGTGTTTCTACGTCGCAACATCGCACACGTACAAACATTAAGTATCTCGGTAAGGTTGTAGGTATAAGTATAGTATAAGTTTATAGGTATAGGTTTAAACGACCGTATAGACCTATTTCTTAGCGTTCCAGCGAGTCACCGCTGTTTGGAATATTCGTTCTCGAAAATAACTTACTGAAGCTCTTGACAATCCAAGGTCTTTAAGCATTTTATAGAGGGATTTAGCTTGTATACCCCTCGTACCGACTTCCACAGCATACAAAGCAACGACATAACCATTTTTAGTTATTTCGTTGGTTAAGTCAAAGTAGTTATTTCTTTTTAAGCGTGGTCTCTAGGGAAGTTGGTTTCCCACGGCACCGTGAGTTCTACTAGTACTACACGCTTAATTAAAATGGCATAAAGAAATATGTCTGGTCTGGACGCCGAGGCACAGATATCCTCCGCTATTCTGTGATGTACGGCAGTACGGTTTTTTGAAGTCTTTTGTTGAGCCTTCCTTTTCAAAGGCGATGTTAGTTCTTATGTTTGTTGTTATTCCTTTTTTCGCTCGAGCCAGCGATAAACTTATTTCAATTTTTATTAATCTCGTTACCCAACACCTTCAATGTGCGTATCACCTGTATGCAGATGACTTGCAAATTTACGCCCAATCGAGAGTTGAAGACATATCACACGCCACTGATAAAGTCAACAAAGATTTGGACTTCATAAGGAGATGGTCGATGAGGTTTGGTTTGTCGGTTAACCCAAGCAAATGTCAAGTGATCGTCATAGGTAGCAAACAGATGTTAAATAGGTTGGACATGACGGCCATACCACCAGTTGTTTTTAACGACATAATCATACCTCTGAGCCCAGTGGTTAAGAACCTAGGGCTACATATTGATTCGACACTTGACTGGAGAGCACAAGTCACCCACGTCAGCCAGCAAGTCACTACATGTCTTCGCGCCTTATATCGTCTCAAGAATTTTCTGCCCACTAAAACCAAGGCTACGCTTATGCAGTCCCTTATTACTCCCTTAATCGATTATGGTGATGTGTGTTATCTTGACCTGAATGCAGACCTCCTCAATAAACTAGACCGACTTCTTAATAACTGCATTCGATTTGTTTTTAATCTTCGCAAGTATGACCATGTGTCTGCTTTACGTTCCCAACTGAAATGGCTCCCGATTCGTCAACGCCGCAGTCTGCGCGCACTAACATATCTTTTTTCATTTCTTAATTCCCCATCGGTACCTGAGTACCTGGTTCCCCATCTCCGCCTCCTTTGCTCCAGTCACGACCGAAATCTTAGATCAACAAATAATATGCTTCTTCTTTGCCCCCCTCACACTTCCAACTTCATCAATTCTTCCTTCTATGTTCAGTCAGTTCTTCTCTGGAATGCGCTCCCAGTTGAAATCAGGATGTCCACTAACCGGTTTACGTTCAAGAAGAAAGTACAAGAACTTCTACAAAATAAGTTGGCAGAAAGGTCACATCGCTAGCACCCGACTATGTGTTTTGATATTTATGTATTTATAAATGTGTATATTCATCTATTGTATGTGTATACTTGAGACCTCTATGTATATATGTAGTGATGAATATAGTATTTTATTTATAGTATTTATAGTAGTAGTGTATATATGTAAGTTAGATTTATCCTACATTAATAGGTTTAATATAAACAAGTCAAATTCTCTGTTTTCTCTTGCACCTACAGCTTCATTTTTCTACATCACCCAAAGGTCGACTGGCAGAGAATGCCTTGGGCATTAAGTCCGCCTTTGTACAACTAGTGCATTAAGTTAAATAAATAAATAAAAATAAATAAAACTTATAGCTTCGCGTATGGTTTGTAAAACCCTATGCGTATGATTTGTAATCATGGAGACGTGAATAATGACCCCGGTCTAATAGCGTAAGTGCCTGGCTGTACCTATTTCCGAACTGCACATCGTACAAGCCTTTTCTGTAGCTTTTCACACCCTTATTAGGTTGCTTTGGTCGGGAAGATTTTTCAATCTTCCCGACCTAAGCAACCTAATAAGGGTGTTAAAATTTTACCTCCATTTGCGCCATTTCAAAGCTGGTCGGATACCACAACAACAGTACTTTTCCTTTTAAGTAGAATGTAAATATCTTAAGTCAGTGATATTTACCATTGTTAGGTACCTAGTCACCCAATTATAATAGTGTAACAGTTGATAACAGTGCAGTCGGTCGCTCAGGGCATTATTTCGTTGTATTGGTAATATGCGGTAAACGGCCCTAATTTATGATAGATACGTACGTAATAGTACGTTATTACGGTATTTTTGAGTAGTAATTGAAATGTTACTAATCTGCATTACAGTTTAGTTTTGAATCTTTAGCATCATTTCCAACCATAAAATGGACATGGATAAGCGTCCTCACCTACGAGTTATGTACGACCTACGGTAACACACTATACACAGTATACAGTCTCGAATTAGTTTTTTCACACGCCTCAATATACCTGCAACACCGTATTTAACAACTTCAATTAAGTTGAGAATACAGGTTTCAATGTCATAGCAAACATTAATCATAACTAAATAAATCATTATTATTAGTTAATTCAAACGTACTAAAAAAGTTTGTCAGATGTTCTATGCTTTTTTATAACGAATATGAAGAGTTTTACTGTTTAAAATCACATCATTACATCAACAGCCTATAATAGTCCACTGCTGGACATAGGCCTCTTCATAGAAAGGAGGTTTTGGCCTACTATACGACGCCAGACGGATTGGTACAGGGTTTGTTTCAAGTTTTCTTTCTCTTTGCAGAGCTGTTGTCTGCTCCCTTAGTCGGCTCTTACAACACCCACGGGATGAATAGGAGTGGTGACATTCCGTATTCTTAATCCATCACCACACGGATAGTACCACTGTTTAAAACAGGTAATTATCTGTGAATGCAATGTTCCTCAAAATCCTCAGTGAATATTCCGAAGGCCTACTTGGAGGGAAATATTGCCATATGGTTGCCTCGTAATGTAAATATAGCAAGTTTTAAATAAATAAAATAAATAAATGTAGCCCTGAAATACCATCTAAATATTAATTAGGAGCAATTGCTATAATAGGAGAAACGATATATTTGAGAACATCGTTTCAAATTCCGGCAAAAAACTGTCAAATGTCAAACTTGTCATAAATAAATTAGTTTTTTGTAGTAAACAAACAATAGTTTTATTGATTGAAAAACAATATTATGTCCTCTGCATATTTTATGAAAAAGTTTTTAGAGAAAAGGCGACAGAGGAAGAATCGTAAAGTTCAAAATGGGGAGACATATCAAGGGAGTTGTAATTACGATAATATTGATACAAATAACATTAGTATTAAGTGTAGAATCTGCATGAAAGCGGCTGATATTCCGATTTATAACCAAAAAATGTCGTTTGATATTTCTGAAGCAATACGTACGTTTGGTGGTATAGAATTGTATGAAGATGATGATTATCCACAACACGTATGTACAGCATGTTACACTTTTTTACAAAATGCAGTCTCGTTCAGAAAATCTGCTCAAGATACTGACAAAATATTTCGACAAACCTCTATTCAAGAATATGGTTGTGTGGATGATGCAAGCGACATTCCAGATAATGATAACCATTACAAATATGAACCTCATAGAAAATCATACAGTTGTAAACTATGTAAAGTGTCTTTTGAATCATGTGATGAACTCATTACACATAAAAACTCCAAAGCTCATAAATCTGTTCGTGTCCAGTGCCCTATATGCTTACGTTTGCTAACAGCACAGCTATTTAAAAAGCATGTAGAACATAGACATCAGTCAGCAACACACTTAATTTGCGACATCTGTGGGAAACTTTATAGGAAAGACAATCTTGTCAGGCACCTGCAGCTTCATAATTATGATTTACCTTTTCAATGTCAAATATGCCCCTACAGGGGTCGTTTCATGGAATCTCTCAGAATTCACATGAGAACTCACACTGGGGATAAGCCATTCTCTTGTGATAAATGTGAGCTGCGTTTCTTAACAAGAAGTAATTTGAATAGACATCTTTTAACTCATAAAAAGGAAAAACCATTTAAATGCATGGAATGTGGGCGAGGTTTCTACATTAAAAGGGATATGGATTCTCATTTTAAGGCTGATCATGTGGGAGTTAAGGATTTTAATTGTAGAATGTGTGGAAACAAATATGGCACTAAAAAGGCTCTTATGAGACACGAGCTGCGGGTACATAAAAGAGATAAAATGGCTAAAGGTAGAGTGCCACTATATTTACAAGCTGAGTATCAAAAGCATGATGATGAAGGGATGTAAATTAAAAGTTAAGTATCCTAGAGAAAAAAGTTTTAGTAAATGATAGGGTTTTCTAATTAGTCTAACTCATCTTAGAGTATACCAGACAACACAAGGACAATTGAAAAACATTTGTGTGCATGAACATTTAATGTTTGATTTGGTCTGGGTGTTTCTATGTATAATAAGTATGTATTTACAAAAAAAAAGTATACATGTATTTATATCAGTGGTCTAGTAACCCATAGTACAAGCTCCGCTTAGTTTGGGACTAGATGGCGTTGTGTGAATGTGGTAGAATATTATTATTATTATTATTACAATTGTCAATGCCATTTATTCATGATGACTTCCAGTACTCATAGTGCGCAGGAATAAAAAATGGAATAGTTTTGTTCTTCATAAAGGCACTTATGATTATGGAGGGTATATTATCATCTGTAAAGTAGTGCTATTAATTTACAAGTTCAAGTGTCTGCAGTGTGTTGTAATTTTACTGGTGAAAGCAGTAGCTTAAGTAATTGTAACCAGGCAGGGAATTTTAGCTACTACATACAGACAGTCACACACACACACATACAGTCTTAAAACACAACTAATATCTCAAATATAAATATAGAAGTGTTTGACACATAAGTTTGGACCTAATTATATGGTTACTATTATTAACTCTGTGTTAAAAGGTTATAAAATAAAACATGTACAGTTCACTCAAATGTTTATATTCCAAATGAAATATAAATAACATTTTTAATAAGTGTTAAGAAACATATATATATTTATATGAGTACAATAATAAATGTTTGTGCTATTTAGTATCTTTTTACCTACATTGTACATAGACTATAGAATACTTCCAATAAATAGTTTTTAATATATTTTGGCTTATAATTTAAAAAGGACAACACTTAATACATTTTAAATAGAGAACACATTCTTATTGATATAAGTTTTTTGGTATCATTGCTACTGAACAATGGAAGATTTGAGATAGTAACTATGACATAAATATCATAATGAAGGCCACATTATCACTAGTGTTACACTTATCAAGTGGATACAAACTACAATACAATAAGGCTTTTTTGGTCTCATATTGTACAATATGTTTCTTATGTTACAATACTGTTATATTGAAAATCCTACAATAGCATAATAACGTTTATTATTATTTTTCAGATCATCAGCATTTTATGTAGGTATCTCTGCATAATAAAATTTCCAATACATTTTTCTTATAACTTAAAGCTCATGACTGGTGACTAGAACAATAACTTAAAATAAAAAATACACAGTACTTATACTATGGTTAAAAAACAATTTTTTTACAGTACTTATACAGTTTTGTAATATAAGTAACAAAACATTATATGAAAGGTTCTCAATAAAACACGAGATAGAATATTATCTTTGTTTATGGGAACATTTGAGGTATAAAATTTTTTATATATTTTTTTGCTATGAATTTATAATAAATAGCCAAAAAATACTTCATTTGTTCAAGAATACTCAGCTTCGTCAAATATGTTTTTTACATTAGTATATTTCTTTGTAAATTCTTCAGTAGCATATTAAATTACATAAAATTGTTTTAACACTGACTTATTTCCCATATAAACTTTTAAAAAGTATTACTAAAATAGCAAAACTGAAGCATTTTACATCTTTCTAACTTGGAAGCTAACAAAAATACATCAATCAAAATCTTCTAGACAAGAACACACATGACAGCGAAAATTGTTTCTCAAGACCACCAAGCTTAAATTTTCATAATTAGGACTCTTAAATTATTATATATTTTTAAATGTTTCAAATAGGAACAATAACATTGGCTAGAACGATTTAAAAGTACTCACCTAAAAATCTGAAATTTAAATGTGAAACATAAGTACTGATTTAAAAGAAATATCTTCATTACAGCATATTTCCAAAACATGTAGTAAATACTGATTTGTTTTTGCAATGCCACACATATGTCAGTGCATGTATTGTGGGATTAAGGCACTCATACCCCTTTATTAGAATTCTACAGTAAAACATTGTATTCTTTCTAATCATATGAAGGCCCCCGGCAAAGGCTAACAATGAACATTGATGCAAATACAAACTCTACAAGTTGAATGCACAGCATGAGAGTGCACCAAATAATCTCAATTCTGAGGACCACCACTTGGAATATGAGCAGGTACAGCACACCCATTATAGACGGTACTGTCAACAATACTGAGAACAACACTGGTGTATCTGTAAAAACAAATGGGTCGGTGAAAAAAAAATTATCACTTTTTACACTGCTCTGTTTCATGATGCACTTAATTCATTTGATGTGGATGTGTTTAAGAAAGAAGAAAGGAGGTTTTGCCTATTATACCACTGGTCAGATGGTTGGTCTATACCAGATGTGTATCTGACCAAAGTCAGTGTGGTTTAGTAGGCCAAACCCTATGGTTTGATCCCTTAGTCGGCTCTTACGACTCCCACTCCGTATTCGTAATCCATTACCATATGAAAAGGATTAAGGATAAAATTGCTTAAATATATTCAAACAAATAATACTTTAAATACTTACCTTTTTCGCTTAGGCTACCCTTTCGCCCTAGTATTAGGCGGGCGGTTTCTACAATGAAAAGTGCTATAAGGACTCCATAGTCTCGTCCTAACTTAGTTGGATCTTTCTCCACTTCGTATCTCCCGGCGATTAGAACTGTTTTTAGAATAAGAGTGCCGAGTTCACAAGTGGAAAATAGTCCAAAGTAAAATGAATTAATGTATAATAATATTTCGTAAGCTAAGCTTGAGTTAACCATTTTAAATCAGTATTATTTAGTAAGATATATCTTAACTACTTAGAACAAATGACAATTAAAACAAAATAGCTTCATGTACAAGACAAAAGTACGGCACGAAATACAAATTAATTTTTCCTGCTATAACTTAAAAATAGAACAAATGAAAATTTAAGAAAAGTGAAATGTCAATGATCTTATTGACATTTGACATTTATGACAGGCAGGCATGGAGAGATTTTGTAGTTACCAGCACATAATTTTGTTCCAAAATACTTGCAAAAATGATTTTCATTGCCCATTTTCGAAAAAATATTAAATGATAATAAAATAGGACATAATATATCTCAAAATTATTCTCAATTTTTTAAAGTGTGCTTGCAGTTTATATTTTCACACATTTCGAAAAAACCTAGACTTCTATCAATGATTTTGACTGTTACCTCAATAACAACTATGGCAACAAATCTAAGTGCAACTAACGACGCGGGCGGGGGTGGTTGTGTTGCACGTGCTTTGGATTTATACTATAATGCAGTTTTTATGAATAAAAAAGTTTAAATAAGCGTACGAAAGTGTTATTAACGAATTGATAGTTTATATTTGTTGTTCAAACATAGTATGATTTGGTAAGTGTTATAAATTAAATGTTTTGATGGCCACGCGCTCTGTAAAGCACGTTGATACGTAAAATCTTTAGTGTGTAAAAGCGGAATGATATTCAATTGTTTTCTTTTGTCTTTAAGTTTGTATTGCTGAAGTTTTATTGTTGTCTGCCTTTAACATAATGAAGGAAAAGGGTATTGTTAAGTTGTAATTGTTACTGGTTAGATTACATGCATTTTCGTGTTATCATAGCTGGAAGCAGTTATTTATGGCATTATCTTTTTTATAAAGTGAACGGTTAACTATTTTTTAAGCGCGGGTCAATGTACACTGATAAAAGCTTTGGAAAGTTCAATTCTTATTGGTTATTTGGTTTCTGTTATTTGTTTATTTTCTTTTGAGAGTTGCCTTGCAGTGTGGTATAAATTCTGGGTATATTCTATAGCAGATGTTTTAAAGTTTAGTACCTATGTTTTTAACGATTTGTAATCCTTATAAAAGTTGAAGATCTTAAAAGAAATCTTTATTTGTTATTGAAAATGGTTTTCAGCTACAATAACTAAATCTAATAGAGTTAAAAGCTGGTTATTATCAAGAATTTACCATAACTTATGTAGCCCATTTTATTCTGTAATCAGTAATACCTTTGATGTGCCAAGAAGTGAATTTATTAAAAAATAAAATTAACTAATATAATTCTCACCAAATTAAAAATATGTTTTAATTAAAATGGAATATAAATCATTCTTATTGAATTTATAACATAAATTCGGTTAGTCAGGGTTCCTTATTAATGTATAAGTAATAATATATCTCACACATCTTGCACACGGCAGTCTGATCCCGAATTGGGCAGAACCTGTGCTATGGTAACTGGACTGCTGATAAACATACTTATATATTTTGAAATATCTATTTTAAAATAGTAAATAAATTACTTATTTACTACTTAATCTACATATTATAGATAAATTACACCCAGACAGAACAAATGACCATGCTGATCACACAATATTTGACCTGGATGGGAATCGAACCCTCGACCTCCGGTTTAGCAGTCAGGGTCACTAACCACTAGACCAACAGGACGTCCCCTAGGAAGGAAGTAAAGATATAAAAATATTCTGTATATAATAATATTAAGAGTAATATTTAATGTACACTATGCTACTCCACAGTCTGTTGGATTTCCTGTCTGTTAAGTTTAACAGACACAAAGAGTTAATGACTCATACTTTCTTTATAGCATTGGCACTCCAAAGATTTATAAAGAATGTGAATGAATAGCCAATATTATGACAGTGTGTCCGTTCAAACAACATTATATGTGTGTCTTAATATATATTTGTATATTTTCAATGAACAAACAATCAAAATAATGTATGCGTAAGGCTCATGCTACACAAAGATTTCTATAGGTATCTATTTTCACAACTGAAGGCCAATTCTCATAATAAAAGTTTGGTCTGTATTACGAGAATTGGCATTCTGACTTGACTGATAAAGACACTGGACCAGATGTTGTGGAGACCCTTGGGGAGGCTTATGTCCAGCAGTGGTCGTCTTTCGGAAATATAATATAATTGTTTATAAATTTACAATTATGCATTTTCGTGACATTTTAATGAACCGTGTTGGACACATTTATACTAATAGAGTAATACCCATAATGGTGACCGAATAATGATACCCTAAACGGCCTCTCGTAACTCGCTTGATCAAACATGATTGCTTCATTGATTAATTTGTTTATTGATAAGATTTCCGTACACTGAATTCTGGAATGGATTCCAATAACCTTTATAAAGTATTTCTTATCGAAATAACCTTTAAGAGATGTGATGTCTTTATTTGATCTTCGAGTATTACAGTCAGCTTTGGATGTTTAATACTTTGTTAAGAAAATACCTTCTTTTTTTTTTCTTATTTTTTTTTTTTTTTTTTTTTCTTTTTAAAAAGACAACGCCCGCATTAGGAATAAATCCTGTGTCGCGGGGGACTTTACAAACATACATGAAACGGACACAAAGAACACCCAGACTCAGAACAACAATTTGTGGATCACACAAAGTGTCGTCCCATGTGGGGTTTGAACCCACAACACTCGGCGTAGTAGAAAGCGGCGTGGCGACCGCTTAAACCACTACGCCATCCGTGCAAAAGATAATCGCTTCGGTCTCGGAATAACGCGCGTGTTTTGGGCGCTGCTCGGTCGTCAAGTGCAGGGGCTCGTGACACCCTCAACTGCCGCAATCGTCGCTCCCGGTGCGCTCCGCCACTCCCTCGCTGGTTGCCCACGCGCCTCACGCGGTAACATCCTTCCGCCTCTTGACCTCTTTAAAGGGAAGAGGGCAAATGTTGTTAAACCTGGTCAGCTGGAGTTTCTGGTCATCTTGCCTCTCTTCGTTCTTAACTCCGCCACTCTTGTGATGCCGTCGAGTCCAGGCAAAGTGCGCATCACGCGACCCAAAGCCCAAACTAGCGGTGAAAGCGCCCTGTCTCGAAGAAGCACGAGCATCCCCTCAGTGAGCTGGCCAGATGATGAAGACCACTTGGTTTTTTACTGCAGTAAAGAAACATACTCATGAGAGAATCTTTGCCAGAAGTGCTGTCGGATGCATTCAATCCTCTTGAACCGGTCGAAGCAGCTGATGTTCTTCTCAGGAATCTGCGGATGGTAAGACCTAACAACCTTCTCAAATTATGTTTCTTAGAGCGAACTGCTACCTCAGCCATTGCATTGAAATGAGGTGAATATGAAGGTTAAAATAAGAACCTGATTCCCCAACGAGACATCTCACATGCAACATCAGAAGATGAATCGGATAAGAATTTTTGTAGATCATTAGTGGCTCCAAAAAAAATTCGTGCCATTATCAGACAAGACGCTTTGAGGTTTACCACGACGAGAAATAAAGCGATTCAGCGCTGCAATGAAGCCCTCTTTTGTGAGGTCAGTGACGGGCTCCAAATGTACTGCTCTGGTTGCGTGACAAAATGCACAGGTACGATTTTGTGAGCTTACAGCCCCGACCCGCCCCGGTCAGCTATGAGTATTCGACCAGCATAATCTACACCGCAATAAAAAGGGTATTCTAGGCCAATTCTAGTTATAGGCAGTTGTCCCATTATGGGCTGTACATTTTTACATTTGAATCTAAAGCACTTAACACATTGTTGTGTTGACCGTTGACGTCGCGAGATTCCTGCCACCTAACGGCTAATAATTAAAAATTAAATTAGTAAAAGTTAAGGACCTGCATGTAGCATTTTTAAATGTTGCATGTTAAATAGAATTTTTGTTAAGTGGTTTTTACTACAGCAATATTGAGTATTTAGTACTATAGTCGTACGGAGAATTATCGAGCCTACCACCTACTCGTACGATATTTTCGGAATCTAGAAATGAGGTTAATGAAATTAATCTATTTTTCCGCGGTAGAGATCTTCCCGACTCCAAAAAACCCAACTCCGTAGGAAACATCTCTCTTTGCTCTCTCGCTGCGTAGTAAACACATTAATGAAGTAGTTAACTCATCACTAGGAAGAGCGCCTTGTAATAGAAATAGAATTAGAATTTTTTAAATTGTAAATAAATCTGTTAATATAGGCTAGGACTCTTTGCAAGCGATTGAACCTAGAATGATAATGAATTAATGATTGTATGATATTTGGTGATTGATTTGAATTAGATAAATGATTAATATAAATAAAATAAGAAATCACTTCAGGTAGATCCTGCTTCACGCTGTTAGTGGGCATAGTAGGCCAGTCATGCTCATGATTTTGTAAAAAGCTAATGCCTGACCACCATAGATCATTATCACCGATTGAGTCGGCTTTCGCCCCGCGCGAGACAAGGTCTGCCGGCTTGTCTTTCGACGGCACATACCTCCACGTGTGACTGATAGAATTTTCGATAATATCATTTATTCGATTTCGTACAAAGGGCTTGAGTTGATTTGAAGGAGTATTCAACCACCCGAACACGCTTATCGAATCTCACCAAAAGAAGCACTGAGCGATTGGCATTGTCAATGACTCGAGAACGGTTGTACACAGTCTTGACCCCAATAATGCGGCACAAAGTCCAAGCCAGTTATCAGTGCTATACGGTTCCTGGACAGGAGAAGACGAACCCGAAGGGAGCTGGTGCAACCTATGGATCGCACATAAACATATGCGCCATACGCCTTCTCTGATGCATCACAAAAAACATGAATTTCACGTTTTAACATCGCATCGAAAGAAACCCAGCGGGGTATTTTTAAATGCTTTCTTCTACAAAGGGATCTTCCGTTTGCCCCCGACCTGGCTAAGTGACGGCGCAACTTTTAATCGCGGGAAGTAGTAAGTGCACATAAATTTATCGGGCCGAAATTGTGCAATGCAGAATCAGTAGTTTTTATTAATAC